TTACCCATTCCAAAGGAAAACATGAATTAAAGTGAAAATTAAAGTAGGTATTCCGAATCTTAAGTTGAAACTCTGAATATCCCCAATAAAGTGTTTTCTTAAACCTTCACAATAAAGGGAAACGAGCTCTGCTGTTTAAAAAAAAGCCCACCTCTTCCACTGGGCATTTCAATAGCTGTGTGCCATTCCTTTAAGGAGCAGGAAGCATGTGTGAGTTAAACATGCATTTAATCATCCCTCCCCCCAAGTCCGACAGAAGTGTGGCAAGGAGGGCCATCTGTTTTGTTTGAATGAGAAGTGACCCAGCGTTCTGATTTCAATTAGCCTCTTTGTAGCTTTATGTTTGAGCTGCTTCCGCAGCTAACAGTTCAAACTAAGTGTAGAGAAGCGCTGGCAAAGTTCTGCCAGTGCTGAATTGTTTAACAACTGTCAGTGAACATAGAACAAGTGTACAAGACAATGTGGCTGGATGCACGTTAAGATGTGTAATTTTATAGACTCAAAATAGCATGTTCTGGAACCTGCGAGATAAAGAAAACATTGAAAAGGTATCTTGAAAAGGTAACTCGAACCCTACCACCCTAGTTTACTGCTGTACACAAGATAGTCCCAGTCAACATCCTACAACATAAGTGTCTGACTGTGGCTTGAGTCAGAACAGCCTTGTTCATTCTGACCCACCCACCTATGTTGTTTTTTTTTCTTCTACCCTGTTTCCCCGAAAATAAAAGTGTCTTATATTAATTTTTTCTCCCAAAGTTGTGCTAGGTCTTATTTTCAGGGGATGTCTTATCTTTCCATGCGCTACGTCTTATTCTCGGAGGATGTCTTATTTTCGGGGAAACACGGGTAATAATAACCAGAAAGCTTTAGCTTATATTTAGGAAGAGAATTAAACATGTATTCTATGTAAACAATGTCATTGATTGCAAGGTATCAATAAAAACTTTATTTTTTTCAATAAAAACTTTTAAAAGTGAATGCAATCTGTCATTCTTGACTTATATCTGTCCTATTTGTAATTCTTTTCAGAGAAATGACCAGTTTATTTATCATGGTCAATACCATTCATGTGGCCCAGAATGTTTTTTTGCTAAAAATATCCAAAGGAAATAATAGAACCTTTTGGAGCTTGTGTTTTCTTCTTTACAAAATACTTAATTCTTTATTAATGATAATGTCAAATTTAGCTATAGGTCAACAAATGAAAAGGAAAAGATAATTAAATGAGAAAATGAAGAGACGAAGTTCAGATGAGCAGGCTGAAGAAATCCAATAGAATTTCTAAAGCTAGAGGAAATGTGCAGATTTTTAAGTATCAATGGTTTTTAGTGTTACAACTTCAAGTCACATTGAAGAAGAAAACAAATCAATAGAAGGAAACAGGTTTGGTTCTATCAAAGTAAATATACCTGAAAGAGCAAAGTATTATTTTCTACATATAGATCTCATTGTAGGCATGATATGGGTACCATCTATTCTGGATGTAGGAGAAAAATACAGATATGGAATTATTTCTTCATGACACAAATTTACATGTTGATGACACACCCTTGTGTCCATCCATTGGAAGAAGCAGAGGAATGCATTTTATTAGGTTACTTATTTTGTTCATTAAAAAAACAGGCCTTGATAAAGCCTAAAGTTAACGATTTAAAAAATCTTTAAAACCTGTAATGGTTTATAAAAAATTTTTTGTGGCATTACATTATCTTAGCTAGTATATATAAAAGTATAAGGAATTGATAGCACAGATTTCAGGTATTTTCAAGTTAGAATAAAGGTACAAGATGCTCATTTATGACCATCGAACAATTTCTGGGCTGTACTGTGCACAAGACATGTGCCCCTATATGGTATGATAGGCACAGAAAGGTCTACATTCACCTACTTCTCCCAAACTGTCTCATTACCTAAATAGTACTTCCAGTCACTTCTTCCAGTTAAAGTTCTGATTTTATGCCACAAGACTTAAAGTGCAAATGTTAAATAGCATTATTAAGATTACTTTGGACCGAGACCGGTTCGGCTCAGTGGATAGAGCGTCGGCTTGGGGACTGAAGGGTCCCGGGTTCGATTCTGGTCAGGGGCATGTCCCTTGGTTGCGGGCATATCCACAGTGGGGGGTGTGCAAGAGGCAGCTGATCGATGACTCTCTCTCATCGATGTTTCTAACTCTCTCTCTCCCTTCCGCTCTATACAAAATCAATAAAATATATTGTTTTAAAAATTACTTTGGCCCTGGCTGGGCGACTCAGTTGGTTGGAGTGATGTGCTAAGGTTGCGGGTTCAATCTCCAGTCAGGGCACATGCAGAAATCAACCAATGAATGCATAATAGGTGGAACAACGAGTCAATATTTCTCACTCTCTCCTTCCATCTCTCTCTGAAATCAATACATTAAAAAATTTTTTTTAAATTATGTGTTGACATTAAGATTTATCAAATTAGTCAAGAGTTGGGACACACACACACACACACACACAAATTCTGAATTGACAGAGGAAAAAAAAACACCCAGAAGCACATGACTGCCTTCCGTGTTCATGGCATCATCCCAACCAAGATAAGCTAAAGACCATATTCCAGTAAGCTTACTTATAATCTTCGTGGACGATAGACAGACATCTGATAATTACATTATAAACAATGAAGCAAGAGGTCTTTATTAATGAGGGTTTTAAAAACACCTTCCCAAGCAGCTGAGGCTATCTGAGCAATTCTGGTCCTCCCAGAAGCAGGGTGAAGGTCCAGGCCAGAAGCCTTCTTCTCTGGCAGGAGTCATTCTCCACTATCGCCTTAAGAAGCCCAGTCGCTGTGCTCAGAGCGTAATGCAATCCAACTGTTCTCTTCCTGGGGTACACTCAAGCTAAAGACAAGGCTCCTGAGATTCTACCAACCACCTCACATGCCTAGCCAGTGTGCTTTTATCCCAGAGAACTTCCTAAACAAAACACAGCAGCTGACTTAAGAAGTCAGGATAAAAGTCATGGAGAAGAGGCCATTTCTTTCACTACCTTCCTCACCAATGGTCTTGCCTTTTGATAGTCTCCTTCCTCATCCTCCCTCTACGTCTTTTCCTTTAATTTAGCACTTTTATTTTCCAATTGCCTCTTCATTGCTTAAGTGTGAAATATGGCTATTTCAAAGTGTAAAGAAAAAGAAAAAAAGTTACATTAAAATGGTAAGCTATTTTAATCACTAAGCTAATTGTTCACTGAAGGAAAATAAAACTGAAGAAACAACTTGACCAACAAAACTAGCCTAGGGTCTGAATCTGAAGATTTTATAAAACCTTTATTTAGTCAACCAACCTATTGCAATGGCATCTTAACAGTATTGTGTTTAAAAAACTAAATATTCTTCAAGAGATACATAAATTTGAAATTTATTTAAATTTGACCTATTTTAGAGGTTAAAAATAACTAAAGCTCCTTCGCTCTTTAAAACCAATAGGTCAGCTTTAAAAAGGATATCAATATAAAATTACTGAGCAGGAATCCACCAACAACATCATATGAACAAAAGAGAGTAACTTTAGTTGTAAGTTTAATGACAGTATCTGGTTTGCTTTCATAAGCAGCAAGCCCTGAGCCCTAAAATGCAAGATGAATATTCTCACAGATATATGCAGACTAATGTTTCTGAAATCCCAATCTTCTATATTCCACATAAATGAATTGCAATTAACCAGATGTATGTGAAAGAGAAATAGTTATTTCTTAACTCTAAGAAATAAAACTGGGAAATCCAAATTAAGACAATGTAATTGTAAAGAGGAAGATTTCCCAGTCATTGCTAATCATAAAAATTGACTTTTAAAACATAAAAAATGCAGCATTGGCTGGTGTGGCTCAGCTGGTTGGAATATCATCCCATATATAGTAAGGTTTGGGGTTCGATTCCCATTCAGGTTATGCGTTCAATCCCCGGTTGGGGCACAGATGGAAGGCAATCAATCAATGTTCTCTTTCACTTGATGTCTCTCTCTCTCTTCTTTCCCCCTCTCTAAAAATCAATGGGCATATCCTCAGGTGAGGATTTTAAAAAACATAAAAAATGCTGTATTTTGAAACAAATTGGTTAGAAACATAATGTCCTTAATAACAATGTAGTAAGGCCCATATCAGCTAGACTTACCAGTACATCAATTATCTAGCTAGATATACATGATTAAAATTTCCATTATTGCCTACTGGTAAAAATTTTAGATTTGTCACAAAGCCCAGGACACTGGAATTTCATTTAAATCAAAACTCAGAAAGTGTTACATTAACAAAAACAGTAAAATCTGATAAAATCGTATAACTCATTTTAAAACACCAATATTTACAGATTCCCTTTGAATATACAACAGGTAATGATACAATGAAGACATTTTTACAATATTTATTAAGATAACAAGTTTATAAATTGAAGGACTCAGAGGCACATAGTTTAAAAGGCCAATACCATGGGAATAATGAAGTCAACACAGAAAAGAAAGTATGAACAATTACAACCAATACAGAATTTTTTTTTAAAAAGCCATATCCCCCCAATAAACACATCATACGAATCATCCTTCAAAATTACCATGATAAAAAGTTATTTCCTTCAAAGAAAAATAATTCTTTCCACCTACCGAGCCTAGAAAATTCTATTTACAATGAACTGTGCGGCATTTCATCGGTATTGTTTAATGTGGCCTCCTCTATTACTGCCATTAGAAGTACTGAAAATTTTATAGCTATTGTATTTACAAATGCACATAATATTTAAATTTGCTCTTCATTGAGAACAACTGAACATATACTTGATCAAATCACATATAAATGTTTTAGTGTTGAAAACACATTTTGTGGGGAAAAGTGTATGGGAAGAGGTGTATTTAAAATTATACTGTTTCTGAAGGATTACTAGGCCAATAAGTCTGATAAAACTCAAGGTAGTCACAAAACAGATCTTTGTTGATGAAGAATTTAATTTATTTCTGTTTTAACTGGACACACCGGGCTTCTTCAGTCAACTTTCACCACACTGTAAATTTTCGTAACAAACCAAAAGCATGCAAAGAAGCCAATTGTTCCTATAAGAAAAAAAAAATGCTTTTTTAAAGAAAGCCTAATAATTTACACATAAATACTGGTTTAAAATGACTGTTTCCTAAAAAAAAAAAAAAAAAAAAAAAAAAAAAAAAAAAAAAAAAGCCACAAAACTAAAATCTTTTACCTTCAAGGAATATACCATAGATCCATGAGTTTTTTTTAAAAAACATACAACCACCTGAAATTAAATTTCCTACAGAAATTGACAGAAAGAACTTTTTATACTATAAGATTACCTGAGCTTCCTATAATGCATTTTTCTTATTACATGCAAAAGATTGAAATTAAGATGAAAAGGATGACAATTTTCCTTTCCTTTTAAAAAACGTTTTATCATAAAATGGAAAGATGCTATTAAAATTAATTCAAGGTCTGATATGACTAGCTTAGACAGAGCATCAGATTCATAGAATAATTAAATGGGGATATTTTCTAAGTATAGTTATTGGGAATTACCGGTTTTCAAAAAAACTATAATAAAATAATGCAGAAAGTTTTTACAAAGTGTTTAAAGCAATATAATTTGGATAATAATAAAGATGCATTCCCACTGAGAATGAGAGGTGCTGTGGTACCAGAGGACAGAGCAGATTTGTCATGGGGTATGTATAACATCTTTGGAGTAGGTCACTGATTTTGCAAGCCCATTTTTTTTATCTTGTTTTAAACAGATTATTTTATATGCCCTAGCTGCCTCCATAGACTGACAGGCAGAGTACGTGAGATGATTCATGAAAAAGTATATGCCTTGATTTATAGGTATCTTCATTAATCTAGATTCTAAAACACTGAATGCTAGACAGGTGACAAAAATGAAGCCCCGAGGGAATAACTGTCTAATGGCCCCGGGACAGGGGCAGGGGGCAGGACAGGCTAAGAAGGGGGACAATGGGGAAAGAAAGGGGATATATGCAATAATTTCAACAATTAAGATTAAAAAAAAGAGAGAGAGCTTAACAGGGGAAAAACTTGAGATGTACTGGTCCAGGTACTCCAGTACTTTTAGCACAACAATGACCCTGTTAAGACTTCTTGCCTTAGCTTCTGCTTCCTCACCTTGGTTTAGTGATATTCACCACACAGGGGCAAATCAGACTATACTTAGTTGCACTGAGGACTAAATATTGAAGTGCTGAGTAGTAGAAACCTTCTGGGTTTTATAGGGAAAATATTCATAAGTAATTTGAATAACCTGCCTAAAAATTTAATAGTTAAAAATAATCATTTAAATTCTTACCTGTAAAAAGAAAAAAGATCAAAACCATTATCATGGTATAACCAAAGTACAGAATTGTACTTGCTGTTCCTGTGATCTGAAGTTTTGAAAAGAAGTAGTGTATGGCATATATTAAGAAATAAACTGCAGTAAAGCCACTAGTAAGGAACGAACGCCACTGCCAATGATAATCCTAGGTAGAAAAGAAAAATAATCAAAGAACAAGAATTAATTCCCAATTAGTAGATAACATGTAGCAGAATAAGGTTACAAATCAAAGATAGCTAAATGAAATAGCCCATAAATCTGATTTTTTATATTGGTTCCAGTCTTTTTCTCCCAGTGAACTTTGTTAATTTCCCTCCTCACTAACAGGACTAAAAAGCACTCCCTATCTTTGGTGGAGCTACTTAGTGTTGGCTAAAACATGTGGAAAATCTTAAACAGTTTATGAATAATGAAGTGTTAAACTATATTTTAAAATGTATGCTTCCCAAAGAAAAGTAATATACTTTTTACTTAGATAATTCATTCATTTACAAGGCTTATTTACATTTATATAGTTAAAAATTAACATTACTTATAGTCTGGTCAACTATATTAGGAAAAAGATAAGTCTATTAAGGGGAGTTGAAATCCATTTTCAGTTATTACTAACACTAGAGGCCCAGTGCATGGATTTGTGCACCGGTGGGGTCCCTTGGCCTGGCCTGCAGGAATCGGGCCAAAACCGGCTCTCCAACACCCCCAAGGGGTCCTGGTTTTTGAGTGATGCACCCGGAATCTGGCTCCCTCCTCTCTTCTCCCAATATGATGTTACTTTCTCTCTGTATCTGTCTCACTTCTTTCATCTCACTATACCCTAAGTTTGCAGGAACTGACAACTTGCAGGCATCAAGCTGCAAAATGCCAATTATTTTGCAAACAGGATTTATTTAGCCTGGAATTTAGTGGGCCTAGGGCAGGACCCTGCTCCATGTCAGCCTCTGGCCCAGGCCCTTCTGCCCAGGCAGAGTCCTGTGGTGGCAGGAACCTCCTTCTTCCCACCTGAGCTGCTCCTTCACCTCCTTCCCTCCCCGGAGGTTGCCCGCTGGTGCTAGTGTTCCCAGAAGAGGGGAAGCCGTGGCCAGTTTCCCAACTGAGAGGGGTAGCAGGAAAACTCACTGCCTCCACTGGAAATCAATATTAACACATTGCAGGCTGTAGTTTTACTGCTAGCTTTACCCAGTGGCCAGATAAATTTCTACTGAATGAGTACAAAAAAGGTCTTACATAAATGTTAAAGGCACGGTTTAAAATTAAATATCCATTGCATTTTGAAGTTATTTATCACATGTTCTTACAAGCTAATATCTGTTTTAAAGAATTCTCGTGATTGGCCACAAAAAAAACAAACACAAAACACGAGAATTCTTGTGATCCGTCTGCAATGTGTTAAGCACAATGGGCAGGATGTCGGGGATGCAGCCAGTAGGTACTGCATGTCTCATCACTTAGCTAATTGAGTCAAAAAGTTTCTGTGAGGGCCAGACCCAAAGTGGGGTCCCTTGGCTAGCCCTGTGGGGATCAGGTGGAAACTGGCTCTGCGACATCACCCGAGGGGTCCTGGATTGCAAGAGGGCGGTTCTCAGGTGATGCACTCCGGAACTGGGCTCCCTCCTCTCTGGTTTTGGATGCGTCACCTGAGAACCACTGCTGCCAAGTCACCACAGCTCAGCAGTTCATGCGCTGAGCATCTGCCCCCTGGTGACCAGTGTGTGTCATAGCTACTACTTGGCTAGTGGACGGTCAGGCGGTCGCTTAGGCTTTTATATATATATAATTTAAACAAGGTGAGTTTAAACAGTTCTTTTAAACAGTTAACAGTTCTTTCATTTATTTATTTAATTTTTTTTTTTTTTAGATCTTCATGTGAAGATATGTTTATGATTTTTTTTAGAGAGAGGAAGGTACAGAGAGAGAAACATTGATCAGTTGCCCCATAACATATGTATGTGTGCCCTGAATGGGAATCAAACCTTTTGGTGTACAGGACAATGCTCCAACCAACTGAGCCAACTGAGCCAGGGCTAAAGCAGTTCTTACTTTTATATAAAGTGGCTTATATCTTAGGGGATCTGTGAAAGAAATACTTCACTATGTCTTCTACCCTTTTGAGTATGTGAAAAATAAATATATCTGAAAAGCATACCAAGATTAGAAAATCCAAAAGAATCCACACAAAAACTAACGAAGCTAATAAGCAAATTCAGCAATGTTACAGGATACAAATTCAACATGAAAATCATTTGTTTCTCACACCAGCAATGAACAATCAGAAAAACAAACATTTTTCACAAGCCCTTTAGAACAGCATCCAAAAGAATAAAATACTTAGGAATAAATTTAACTAAGGAGGAGAAAGACTTGTACAATGAAAACTACAAAATATTGCTAACAGAAATTAAAGAAGACTTAAATGGAGAGACAGCCTAGCCCGTGTTTATGGATTAAAAGACTTAATATTGTTAAGACGGCCATTCTCTCCAATGTGATCTACAGATTCAATTCAATCCCTATCAAAATTCTAATGCCCCTCCCCCTTTTCCCCCCAAAATGGAAAAGCCGATCCTCAAATTCATATGAAATTGCAAGGGGCCCTAAATAGCCAAAATAATCTTCAAAAACCCTTCCCAATTTCAAACTTACTACAAAGCTATGCTAACCAAAAGTGTGGTACTGGCACAAGGATAGCATATATATCACTGGAATAAAATTGAGAATCCAGAAATAAGCCTATACATCTATGGCCAATGGCTAACAAAGTAGTCAAGATTATTCAATGAGGAAAGAATAGTCTCTTAAACAAATGGTGCTGGGAAAACTGGATATTCAAATGCAAAAGAATGAAGTCAGACCCCTAACTAACACCATATACAAAAATTAACTAAATGTGGATCAATGACCTAAATATATGAGTTAAAATTATACATTAGAAGAAAACATAAAGGTAACCTTAGATTTAGGAATAAATTCTTAGATATGGCAACAAAAGAAAAAATATATAAAAATCAGATTCATCAAAATTAAAAACTTTCATATAAAGGATATTATCCAGAAAGTTAAAAGACAACTTACAGAATGGGAAAAATATTTGAAAACTATAGATCTAATAAAGATCTAGTATTCAGAATATAGAAAGAACTCTTACAACTCAACAAAAAGATAATCCAATTTATAAATGAGCGAACAAATGGAATAGACATTTCTGCAAATAAGATATAGAGATGGTCAACAAACACAGGAAAAGACACTGAACATCATTAGTCACAGGAGAAATGAAAAACCACAATGAAAGACTACTTCACACATACTAGGATGGCTATTATTAAAAAAATTTTTTTTTTTAAATAACAGTGCTGGCAAGGATGTGGAGAAATTGGAACCCTTTGTGCAACTGTAGGTAGGAATATAAAACGGTGCAACCATTTGGAAACAATTTGGTGGTTCCTCAAAAAGTTAAAGAATTACCACATAGCCGGAACCGGTTTGGTTCAGTGGTAGAGAGTCAGTTTGCGGACTTAAAGGTCCCAGGTTTGATTCCGGTCAAGGGCATGTACATTGGTTGCGGGCACATCCCTGGTCGGGGGTGTGCAGGAGGCAGCTGGTCGATGTTTCTCTCTCATCGATGTTTCTAGCTCTCTAGCCCTCTCTCCTCCTCTCTGTAAAAAATCAATAAAAATATATTTTAAAAAAATCACATGACTCAGTAATTCCACTTCCATATATACACCTCTCATAATAGAAAACACTCAAATATTTGTACATCAAAGTTTATAGCAGTACTATTCACAATAGCTAAAAGGTGGAAACAAACCTAATGTACACCAATAGGTGAACAAATTAGGGTGTATCTATACAATGGAATATTATTCAGCTAAAAAATGAAATGAAATACTAATACGTTACAATATGCTGAACCTTGAAAACAGTCTGCTAAGTGAAAGAAGCCAGACCCAAAAGGCTACACATGTTATATGAAATATCTAGAATACGTAAATCTGTAGAGTCAGAGCAGTCTGGGGAGGGAGGATGGGAAGCAACTATTAATGGGTATGGGATTTTATTTAGGGGAGATGATGAAAATATTTTGAAACAAAATGGAAGTGGTGATTATACAATACTGTAAATGTAGTAAGTGTCAACAAAATGTTCTCTTTAAAATAACTGATTTTGTTATATGAATTTAACCTTGACTTTTTTTTTTCTTCTGGGAAATTATTTTGTTGTTTTTTTTAACTTTTTAAAAATTATTTTTGTTTTTTAAATAATTTTTTTAAACTTTATTATTTTCAATTACAGCTGACATACAATATTATATTAATTTTGGGTGTATACCCAGTGATTAGACATTATATAACTTACTAAATATTATTGACTTTATATCCCCATGACTGTTCTGTTAACCTTAATTTTTTTTAAAAAGCATCTCAATTTTAACAAAGTTAGATTTTATCTCCTGTAAAGAAAATAACTATGAAAAAATGATTTAACATAACCTAAATCTTTAGACATCAACTCTAACCTATAATATAGGATACCATCATTTTGTCACGAATATCACTCATTACAATGTAATGTTTTAATAATTTTTTTCACTAAAATCTGTTTATGTTTTCTAAATTTTCAGTCTAGAAATATGTTACAAAAAGAATATTATGTCAGACATTTAAAAAAAATTTAACATGATGTGCTATTCTTAGGAAATTAACATTTTAAAGTTAAGCTCAAAGTAAATACTATTACTGAACTGGCATACAATCTTAATTCAATCCTAAAAAGGACTGCATTTAACTTAGGAATACAGGTCAATTTCTACTTTAATGACACATATCTGCAAAAATTATTTTAATTAATAGTTTCAGTCTTATGCCAAAATTACAAATATTGTGTACAAATTAACATAAGTGAATACTGCTAATACATACCTCAGCACATAGGTGGAAATAGCAAAGAAGTATAGTTGCTTCAGAACATGTAATAACCAAAATGATAAACACCAGAAACAGGAAGCCAAACATGTAGTACATCTGGTGCGACCTATAATCAAACATTCAAAATGAAACTATATTTTCTCTTTGACATAGTGAATAACACAATTTTTTCATTTTTCTTAAACTGAAGATGTTTGCCATTTCTCTCAACTAATCAAGATATCCCTTTTTTTGGGTAAAATATATTTTTAAAAATATGTTTTTACTGATTTGAGAGAGAGGAAGGGGAAGAAACAATGATGTGCGAGTGTAACATTGATAGGCTGCCTCCCGCATGCACCCTGACCTGGGATCCAACCTGCAATCTGGGCATGTGCCCTGACTGGGAACCGAACCAGGGACCTTTTGGTGCACTGGACAATGCTCAACCTGAAGCACACCAACCAGGACTACCTTTCTTTTTGTTTAAAATTTATTGATTTGAGAGAGAGCAGGAGGGAAGAGAGGAAGAGAGGGGAGAGAAAAACATCAATTTGTTGTTCCACTTATTTATGCATTCATTGGTTGAATCTTATATGTGCCCTAACAGGGATTAAACCTGCAACGTTGGCATTTTGGGCTGATGTCCTGCCAACATCTTATTCCAATTAATCAAAGAAGAAAAATTCTTATAGATTTAGACAATGATGGGGTAGGAGTGGGGCAGGAGAGAAAGGATATGGCAATGTCATGGACTTTGCCTTCCTGCTCAGGTAGAATCTAAAATTCTTATTTATTCAAATATGCTTAGTCTGTCTACTGGTGAGTTTCACAAATTTGATGAAAAATTAATGGAAAGACATAGCCAAACTAAGAAATGGTCACATTTAGTATCTATCCTATCTAATAAAGAGGCGATATGCTAAGTGACCCTCACACTATCACAAAGATGGCTGTGCCCACAGCAAATTAGGAGGGAATATGCTAAATGACTGCCCTGACCTCAAAGATGGTGACACTCACAGCCAATGAGGGAATATGCTGACTGTCCTGCCCTTAAAGATGGCAACACCCACAGCCAATAAGGAGGGAATATGCTACTTGACTGCCACACCCTCAAATATGGCGGCGCCCACAGCCACAAGATGGCAGTATGCAGTCCCCTCAGCCCCATCAGGGAGGCAGGCACGGGGTAGGCGGGCTCAGCCACTCTGCGCTTGCCTCCAGAGTCCCCCAGTTGCTCAGCCCCCTAGCCACACAGGGCCAGCCCAAGGCGAAGTCAAGCCTTAGATGGCAGCTGCCCAGATGCCCAGGGCTGCCCGAGGCTCAGGTAACCAGGGCCGGCTGAGGCTTGTGCTGCTGGCTGTGGCAGCAGCAGAGGTGTGATGAGGCATTGCCTTCCCGTGATCGTTGGGTTACCTCCCACCCGAGGGCTCCCGGACTGTGAGAGGGGGCAGCCCGGGCTGAGGGACACCCCCTTCCAGTGCATATTACCTCTTTTTATATACATATATGTATATAAAAAGAGGTAATATGCAAATTAGCTGGGACGCCTAAGGCATTACAACCAGCTCAGGAAGAGGCTGCATCACAACTGGCTCAGAAGGAGCTGTGCGTGCAGATGGGCAGGAGGAGACTACATGCTGTCCCCAGCCCCAGTGGCCGCGGGGATGCTGGGGCAGGGGGCAGGCCAGAGCAGACACACACCAGGGTTGGGGGCATGCCCAAGTGCTGTGGCATGGCTCAAAGCCTGCCCCCACCCCAGCAGACACATACCAGAGGGGGCCTCTGCACGTGAGCTATAGAGGAAATACCTTTCTGACACTCCCTGGCTAAGCTCCCTATATGCCGCCACTCACAGTGTTCTTGGTAACTTGGGTAATAAGAATGCAAGAAGGTGATCTAGGGTTTTCCCGCCTCACTCGTGGAGGAAAATACAAAAGGTCTCCTGCTGGAGGGGCTAAGAAATGTCATATCCTGCCCTGGCTGGTTTGGCTCAGTGGATAGAGCCTTGTCCTGCGAACCTCAGGGTCCAGGTTCGATTCTGATCAAGGGCATGTACCTAGAATGCAGGCTCCTCCCTGGCCGGGGCCCAGGGCAGGGCTCATGTAGGAGACAACCAATTGAAGTGTCCCTCTCACACAGATGTTTCTCTCTGTCTCTCCCTCTCTCTTTTCCACACTCTCTAAAAATCAATGGAAACATATCCTCAGGTAAGGATAAAAAAAACACACCAAAAAACAAGTAATGTCATAGCCTATGAAAGACACATCTTAAAAAATGCCTAAAGAAAAACATCATTTTTCATGGTGAAGGGACTGGAGTCTGTGTTGAAGAAAACACCTTGGTGGCTGCAGCGGTTGGCAGTGGCAGCAGCAGCAGGGTGATGGGGTGGTGCCTTCCCCTGATCAGCCCGGTCAACTCCCACTGTCAGTAGGACATCCCTTGAGGGCTCCTGGACTGTGAGAGGGGATAGGCTGGGCTGAGGGACGCCCCCAGTGCATGAATTTCATGCACGGGGCCTCTAGTATATATTATAAAAGCAGTTGGATTTGGAAAATATTATAATAACCTGAAAGAAAGAGGTTCTAATAACTAAAAAGCTCAAATTTAGTTCTCACTTTATGCTACCTCAAAACTTTCTCTAACATATGTCAATGTGATCAAATAACTATCATAATATACGGCAATACACCCTAATGGAGTGGCTTAAAATACCCTCTATAGTTTTTCAAATAAGAAGTCAGAGAATGGAAGACTCCTGGGAAAATAAAGGACTTTGAAAGGTTAGCTAGTTTAACCCTTCCTCCCAAGCCTGTTCGAAACCTCTTGATCAGGAGCTCAGAGTATCTTCTCTGAAGCAGTACAGATGACTTATTTAAGAACACAGGTTTGAAGACTTGGATTAACTTTTTTGTCACATAGTAACTATGTGACATAGGCAAATTAAATTCCTTAACTTCTAAAGCCTCATTTCCATCTCTGTAAAATGTGGATAATAAACACTTCATAGAGACCTGAGAATTAAGTTAGGGTAAGAATTAATAAGGCTCAATTAATAATAACTGTTATCACTATTATCTTTTTTCCACATGAAAAAAAAATTACTTTTTTACTCTTAAGATTTCTGATTATTAGAGAACAGCTTACATTTGTAAGATATAAACAGTAATCCATATAAGCAAAAAGAGAAAGCTAATAATACATATATAATGGTAATGGCAATAAGAGGATCAGTCCTTAGCTTACCAAATACTATTCAGAATGAAGAAAAGCTGTATAAAAATGCACCCAAAGGGCAAAATTCCTCCCATGATAATACCAGGCAATGGCTTTGTGTAGAAAGACTGATCAGGAATCTGACGTGGAATCTGATTGGTTCGAACTGGGTGTTCAATGGCCTTCAGTAAAGAAAGAATTAAAGAAAGGATTTGTAATTATATATATACTTTTAAAATTCTTCTCTGTACTAGATTATTTGCCTGCTTTCTTCTCAGCTTCCATGCTGACACTAATGATAAGACAAGTCTACTTAAGTCATCAAACAGAAATCTGTACTTAGAAGCCACAAACCAGATACTATCTGGTGCAACAGTCTACTACTGGAACAAGCCACCACTGTTTCCAGCAGTTATCCACTAACTAATGGCTTTACCCAAAGTGTGAAATACACAGGACATAATAGTTAATAAAAAGACTTTTCCCCCTTTTAAATATATACCCACTGTAAGAAATCACCTGGTGCTTAAACTATTTAATGTATTTTAATTTGGAGATGGGCAATGTCATCTTTATTAAAATAGCTCAATTTTACTAAGACTTAAGAACATGAAAAAGACAATGAATGGCTATATGAAGCTTTATGACTAAAGTATGAGAGGTGCTCTCAATTATTCTCTCTTTCATAACATCTATACTAATAAAAGGATAACACACTAATTAGGGAGGATGCCTTCTGGATGTATTGGGTCTAGTACTAATTAATGTCGTTTTTAAACATTCGTTTAAAATCTTGCTTGGCGTTGACTTGTATTGACATAACCTTCAAACACGTGGTATCTACAGAACGTGTGAAGTGCAATTAAGTTTTGCTTGAAAAAGTTTGTGTTTGGTTTGGTTTTTGTTGCAAAACTAGGCTAAGAAGATGGCGGATGAAGAGCATATTCGGCACTGCATGCTTTACGAGTTCCAATTAGGAAGAAAAGCAAGTGAGGCTGCAAAAAACATCTGTAGTGCTCTTGGTCAAGATGCAGTTAGCGCCAGAAAATGCCAGCGTTGGTTTGAGAAGTTTCACGAGGGAAATTTTTCGTTAGATGACAAGAGTGGTCGAGGCCGTGAGTCCAATTTTGATCAAGAAGCTCTTCAAGCTCTTTTGGTGCAAAATCCTCAAATTACCCAACAAGAACTTGCGACAACTTTAAATTGTTCACAAAAAACAATTTCCAATCAATTACGTGCACTCGGCAAAGTCCAAAAGTTTGGAAAATGGGTTCCTCATGAGTTGACCGACAACAACCGTAATCAAAGAGTCACAATTTGCAGTTCACTCCTCTCTCGTCAAAACCGTTTGCCGTTTTTAGAGCAAATTGTTACCGGAGATGAAAAATGGGTGCTGTATGTTAATTTGAAAAGGCGGCCTCAATGGTTGGACAAAAATGAGGTTCCGCAGCCCACGCCAAAACCTGACTTGCATGCGAAAAAAGGGATGTTGTGTGTTTGGTGGAATTTTAAAGGAATTCTTCATTATGAACTTTTACCATATAACCAAACCATTACAAGTGCAGTGTATAGTGCCCAATTGGAAAGGTTAGCCCAAGCTTTAAGAGAAAAAGAACCCGCGCTGATTAATCGGAAGGGCGTTAATTCTTCACCACTATAACGCACGACTGCATACTGCAAGAATCACTGCTGAAAAACTGCGCCAGTTGGAATGGGAAGTTCTCCCTCAACCTGCATATTCTCCTGATATTGCCCCTTCCGATTACCATTTGTTTCGTTCTTTGCAAAACTTTCTTCTTGGAAAAAAATTTAATAATGAAGAATGCCTCAAAAATGCATTGACCGAATTTTTTGCATCAAAATTACAAGAATTTTATAACAGAGGGATTAAAATGCTTCCTGAGCGTTGGGCACAAGTAGTAGAAAACAACGGCAACTATATTGTTGATTAAATTTTGTTGTATTGTTTAAATAAATTCGATTTTTAAAAGTATTAGAAAACGACATTAATTATTACTAGACCTAATACATCCAGATGTCCACTGGACAAAGCCACAGTGGCTGCAAGGCCCAGGGTTCAGGCAGCTGTGGGCTCAGGTAGCCTTGAGCCTTGGCAGCTATGAGGCCCAGGGCTAAGGCAGTCATGAGCCCCAGCAGCTGTGAGGGCTGGGGCTCAGGCCTTTCCACCCACTGTGGCCAACTGTGGCAGCAGCAGTGGGGTGATGAAGATGGCGTCTTCCCCTGATCAGCCCGGTTGCCTCCCCCAGAGGGAAGCCATACTGTCAGTAGGACTTCCCCAGAGGGCTCCCGGACTGTGAGAGGGGGCAGGCCAAGCTGAGGAATCCCCCCCAGTGAATGTATTTTCATGCACCAGGCCACTAGTATTACATGATAGTATAAAAACACTAAAAACTAAAGTACCTAAACATAGTTACATGAGAGGGGGAAAGGGCAGGTATGTAGAAGTTCATTTTCTTTCAAGAAAGTTCCAAGCATACTTCTAAAATTTTTGTGATACATAAAAATTTAAAATTTGTCAGTCTCATTGAGATTATCCTTCCATGTACCAGATAATTTTAAATGTAGATATATGTATATATGTGCATAGAATCATTACATTCTTCAATTTTTATATTTTATAATTTCCAGTACTTATTTAATCTGTAATTTAAAAAATTTCATACAGTTATGAAATTTAAACATAATTTAAACAAAATGCCAAAAAACTGTAAGATCTTTTAGTAGACTGGCATGGTAGATGTGTTAGAGACTATGAAGCACTGATAGTTTCTTCCAAAGGTTCCAGGTTGCCTCACAAAGTATACTGTGGTACATTATTTCTTTTAACCTTGTGGACTGAGTATTTTCAGAGAAGATCAAGAATAGTGAAGTTAAACAATGTGACACTGCAGAAAAAATTCTAATTTTCTTCTTAGCCTCAGGGTAAAAAGAGGTAGAGAAAGATAGGAAGGAGGAACGGAAGGGCTGAACTTGATTATAATCTTACTTAAAATGAAGTATTAAAAGGTAAAAATATGAAATTTATTCCTAAGTTACATATTTTAAAAACTGCTAGTATTATTTTATGGTCACTTTTTTACTTCACTTCCTAACCCATACTCTTGGTTTACTTAGTTAAGTAATGCAAACTAGAAACACTTATTGTTAAGGAGAAAATGCACATACCTTTTAGGTTAAAAAAAAAAAAAAAGTAAAATAATTTATTTTAATGTCAAAAATTCAGAGTTTTAATTAGTTTTTAACTTTTCATTTATCAATTTGTATTAGTTTCCATTTACTTAGAAAACTTTGAAATCTAAGTTTATAAATATAATCTCTTTACCACACTCCTAAGTATGTACAACTTTTTTAAAATGATTGCAATCAAACTTTGAAGTCAATTTTCTGTGAAATCCAGATCCCACAGGACATATCTTTTAGATATATCTTTTAAGGTTGCATAAAGTAGTTCCCACAGTTGAAATTCATCTGAATAAGTTAACACCTATAAACTTACATTTTTCTTAAAACCAAAGTATGCGCCAATAAATGTTAGAGGCACAGATATGCAGAACCAAAGGGCCAATATGGCAACCAGTGTTCCAAAAGGAATAGCTGCTGAAGATCCTTCTCCCCAGAGAATCAGATTCATTATAAAGAAGTCAGCAAATACAATCCTGAAAGACAAAAGAGGATTATAGGTAAAATTTGAGCTTTCCCTAAACTTCTATATTTTCATCTAATTGTTATATCTGTTACATTTCGATTTTAATCCACCTAGAACTGATTTCATGTGTGAGGTAAAAACAGAATTTTTTCCCCCTTCAAAAAGACAATCAATTGTTCCAGCATCATTTTACGGGGTTCCTCTGGTTTTTGATGCCACATTAATTATAATTCCATGTATACTAGTATTTGGTCTATTTTTGTGTTCTCTGTCTTGCTAACCATGGACATCTCCGAACTCTTTCAGAATACTTAAGTCTTCTCATCAAGTAACATGGTGAATTTGTATCTTTTACTAGTTAATAAGCATTGCAGACTTGTCATATGGGATCGTGCCTATTTTCAGAAGTTACTTTAGGTATTTTAAATGTTTTCTATTCTTAATAATCTTGTAAACAGATTTCTCCTCCCACAAAAATACCATTAGAATTAAAATATTTAATTTGTTATTGGTTGTATTCATTATCTTGGAATATTAGCTGATCTCTAGCCATTTGTCAAACTCTTATTAATTCTACAAGTTTTATATATCTGAAATTTGTTAATGTTCTTTGTATACAAACTGTCACCAATAAATAATAATATGATCTCCACTTTTTTGAAATGTATCCCTTGTTTCATGCTGTGAACAGAACTTAAGTAACTGAAGGCACAAAAGTGATTTAATAAAAATGTGTCTAATGTTTCATCATTAAATGATGTTGGTTTTGAATTAGAAATGAGATTTTTCTTAATATAAGAAAGCATTTTTCTATTAAATTCTTTTTAAGTCTGGAAATAATGCTTATATTATCAAATGACATTTTGTTGTGTCTACTGTAATAATTATATGCAGGTGTTTATTTATATAAAATTATATGAATTAATTTAATACTATTAAATGACCCTTCCTTTTCTAGGTGATTACCAATTTCTCTTGCTCCAGAGGGGAACCTGGGTTTTTGGCTGTGTGTGTGTCTCTCTCTGTTTACCTCACCATCCTATTGGTAAACATCTAATTTTAAAAAAGATAAAAGAAGAGTTTTTCAGAGATATAAAGAAACAGGGAAAGGATAATTTCTATTAAGCCAAAAAGAAAGGAGTTTCAAAGAGAAGGTATCCCAATGTTAGACAATGTAGAGAGGTAAAGACAGAGAAAAATATTTCTAGGTTTGAAAATGACATCACTGGTAACCTTAGAGAGAATTCACTAAAATGACAGGAGAAACAAAACAAAACAAAACAAAACAAAACAAAACAGATAGCATGGCTTTATCTTGTAAATATATGTTGAGAAAATGAGAGAAAGAAAGTGTAGACTATTTTTTTCAAGGTATTTTGTTGGGAATGGAAATTAAATAAGATAGTAGACAGAAGGTGCATATTGAAGCTCTTTTTAGGATTCGGGACACCTAAGCATATTGTAGGAATATAACATATGAAAAACATGAACAGAACATAGAGAAAGGGAGAAGTGGAAGCTGTTAGAGATCAGGAAGGATGTTTGAAAGGCTAGATTCTGAAGGAAATTATGGCTGAGTCCTGGTAAGGAGGGACACTTTCTAAGTTGACAGCAGAAAAAAAAGAGGATATAGTTTGAGAAAAGCATAAAAATTTGAACAGAACATAAATGGCTGAAAGGCATGGGAATCTTCAATAGAGATAAAAACCTGAGAATATTTATCCCAAATGTTTATTAAAATTCTGGCTATTTACTCCTTCACTTCTGGCCTGCAAGTGAAACAGTCCTGGCTCCCAGAGTTAACCTTTGGCTTGCTTTATTGCTGCAGACTGTTCAGAGGCTAGTTCTTGTCCACCAGATGGGGAGAGTTTAGGGAGTTGGGAAGAAATGGGTTCTATTTCTAAAGTTACATGTACATCAGATACTTGCTATTGGAAGCTATCCCCAAAGGGACATTTTTGTTTTTATATGTGGTGGCTGCTAAAATGTTTCAAACAAAATTTTGGTATATGTTACTCTATATAATGGAATTAACTCTACAAAGCAGTAAAGCTTTCGATAAAAACCTGAAAATGTATCCTCTGCCTGAATTATCTCAAGCGAGGACTCCTTTCTATGATCATGCCTAAAGCATACACAACGACATGCCATACTAACTTCCACAGGCTAAGACAAAGACTTAATCATTCTGCAAATGTTTATTAAATATTCATTTTACCACTTTTGAAAAATTCAATTCATTATCTTGAGTACATAGTTTAGAGACAGAAAAGATTAAAGATTTAATGGATTAAAAATTTCAGAATTACAATATAACTATGTTAAGAAAGTTATTAATGGAAAAAGTCACTTACCCAGGACAAAGAAATGATGTCAATAAAACATTTGTTTTCCACTTCTCACCTCCAAAGGCTGTAGAAGAAAACAAATGGCATAACATTAAGACTTTTCTTCAGTTATACTCAAGTCTGGTATTAGACAAACTGTCAGAGAGTCCTGGGTGCTTTTTCATAGACAATGGCACTAAAAAATTTATTTGCTATTCCTTACCCAAGTGAGTAAATCAGAGATGCACATCACAAGACTGCCCTAGGTAAGTCCTGCTCTAATGACTTCTGCTTCAGCATAAAATAAATCTAGTATCAAAGGAAAGTCATCCATACCAGTTTTTCTTTTTCCATTCTTTTCTTCTACTTCAAAAAAAAAAAAAAAAGAAAAAAAAATAACTATCTTCTAGGCAAGTTTCAATAATGAGACTGAGTAGAAAAAGGGCATGTTATAGGTTTTTGTTTATATTGAGGTCAGTCTCTCTCTATATATATCAGTCTAGACAACCGAATGACGAGTTGATCAATTGCTATGATGTGCAGACCATCAGGGGACAGATACTCAATGCGCAGGATTGGGCTCCCTCCTGTTTAGATTGGGCCTGCAGGGATTGGGCCTGTGGGGATCAGGCTCCCTCCTGTCCGGATTGGGCCTGTGGGGACTGGGCCAAAACCGGCTATCTGACATCCGCTGAGGGGTCCTGGATTGCGAGGGGGTGCAGGGCAGGCCAAGGGACCCCACATGCACTGGGCCTCTAGTTTGTTATAAAACCAAGAACCCTAAAGCCTAACATGCAACACATTTAAACTTCCATAGTAAGTCTGAATCGTAAAAATTCCACTAGCATTGTAGTTTCTGCTAGAAGGAAGGTGGAGGTGGGAGATCCGTGAGAGATTAGGTAATTATGAGTAGAAGGGTTATGATCACTTGACAGACCAGATTTGCTTACAAACATTTTACTCTCCTTTGCTCCTTCCCTCTTCAATTTTTTTCACTTAAAAAAACAAAAAGCTCAAGAACATAGAATAAAAAGTGAAAGTACTCCTCTGTTCCCACATTAAAAGTTGAAATGAAACTGGGTGATATCTGAGAACAACTTTATTTAAAAGCGTTAAAACAATTTATAAGCAAGTAATACTTGCCTAAAAGAAAATGACAAATTATATATATGATTTGAAGTCAGAGTACTATTCTCAAGAGATATTGTGAAGTTATTGATTTTGGGTGTAATACAATTCCAATCAAAATTCAAAAAATGTTTTTTGAAACAATGGAAATGATTCTACATAATGAAGTACTTTGTGACTGAGGCCATGGAACAGCACCTCTCAGAACATTCTGCCTGATTAATATGCTACTTAATCTGTAAGCGGGAGATCTTAAGAATGAAGAGGAGTTAAAAGAGGGATTTGTCTGGGTTGAGGAAGTATGGACTGGAACTTCAAGAAGAGGAATCAGCATTTGGGAAGGTCCTTAGGCAGGTGTAAGGGTCCACTACCTGACTGAAGAACTGAAAGAAAGTCAGCATAGCTGAAACAGTAAGAATGGGGGCCCAGCTGGCATGGCTCAGTGGTTGAGCATCAACCTATGAACCAGAGTTTCTGATTCAATTCCCGTTCAGGGCCTATGCTTGGGTTGCTGGCTCAATCCCCAGTGAGGGATGTACAGGAGGCAGTCGATCAATGATTCTCTCTCATCATTGATGTTTTTATCTCTCTTCTGCTCCTTTCTTCTCTGAAATTAATAAAAATATATTAGTAAAAAGGGTGTGGGGAGTTTATATACAAGCAGTGGTCCAACTATTATCTGACATGTATTAAAATATTCATGACCACCTTAATTCCGTGTCCTTTTTAAGGATACAGGAAAAAACTTGACAAAATTAACAGAAATTAAACACAATTATGTATATATACATACAGACTTCACATACTAGAGAAAATTTTATTTGGCAAAATCTAAATAATAATTCTTAGGGTTGAGTCAAGCCAACCACACGTTAAGGCCAACTATGTAACCCTACTGTTTTAGTCAAGCCTTAATCATTATTAACCCTAGCTCGGTCCCATCTCCCTGGCACTTTAATTCACAGATTACCTATGAAACCATCTTAGTGGATTTCAGGATTCCTAAATCAGGCAAACTCTGGCAATCACTGCCCCTGGCGAAGCAGCTTTCTAAGCCATCTAATTCCAACCCATCTTTACTCTGTGGCCCTGATCTTTTTATCCGCTGAACTTTATTTTTGGAAAGCAAGAATATAAGAGATTGCAACCAACTATATTACAAAAGTACCTTACTCCAAGGCTCTTTAAAATAGTGAGACCTTAGTTTAGTTTAAATACAGTTTATTTTTATAAATATTACATTAATTACAAGAATAATTTTTCTCATGTAAGGAAAGGCATACCTGTATTTATTACTTCAGTGATTAAATTGGTGGTAACTATTTGTAGACTTTCTTCATTAGTCCAACTTTCCATAAATGTAGCAAATTAAATAGTTCAGCTGAACTTATTAAGTCAAAATTAAAAGAAAAAAAAAGATGGGATGGTGGATAAGCAGCATACATTTGCCTATTTCACTGTATAAGCATCTTTGAACAAATAAATCTAGGGATAGTCATCCACTTCACAAACTTCTTTTAAATAAGAATGCACACCTATAACACATATTGTTTAAAACAGTGGTCGCCAACCCGTAATCTGCGGATCACTGGTGGTCCATGAGGTCTGAAAGGTTGGTGACCGCTGGTTTAAAGCACCAACAAGCAGACATCAAGGCTCAGACACAATGATATAGCATATTGGATTCCTGATCTGATACCTAGTCAGGATGGCTTTTACTTACACTTATAGAATCTGGCAGCGACATAGCCTGCAGGAGTGCCTAACAGCACCCATAGGACCACGGCACAAGTCATCAGTGCTCCTCTGTTGGCAGGTGACAAAAATCCCAGGCAAGCGAAAACTAAAAAAACAAGTAATTTAAAGTTACATAATTTAGTAATGTTTTCTTCGTTGTGAAGTGATATAAGGCCCCACTTTTTTAGCCTGGCAAGGTAGCTCAGTTGGTTAGAGCGTTGTCCTAATACACCAACGTTGGAGGTTTGATCCTCAGTCAAGGCACATATAAGAATCAGATAAGTGGAACAACAAATCAATGTGTGTCTCTTTTCTTCTCTCTCTTTCAAACCAATCAATAAATTAAAAAAAAACCACATTTTAAAAATAATGAACTAGACACAACTTCATGAAAGTACACTATCTTATGCAGCCACACTAAATCTTAGTGATATTTAAGAGACTGCATCAATAGATTATATGTAAGGCAAGTTCCACTTTGGAAGAGTCTGTAAGACCCCATCTCTCCTGTTATCGGAGGAGGCTGACCGAATGCTCATTAGTACTTTCAACTCTTCTAAAATTCAAATATAGCTTTTAAAAATAACATCGATACATTACATTAGAAAGATCATACATCATGACCAAGTGGGATTTATTCTGGGGATGCAAGGCTGGTAGAATATAAGTAAATCAATAAACGTCATACTTCACATAAACAAACTGAGAGACAAAAATCACATAACCTTATCAATTGATGCAGAAAAAGCATTTGACAAAATCCAACACCCTTTCTTTTTTATTTATTTTATTGATTAAGGTATTACATGTGTCCTTATTCCCCATCCCCCCACTCATGCCCTTCCAACACCCTTTCTTCATAAAAACCCTCAGCAAAGTGGGAATAGCGGGATCATACCTCAACATAATAAAAGCCTTATATGACAAACCTCAGCAAAAACTAAAACCATAAGACAGTGATACCCACTTTCAACACTCCTGTTTGACATAGTACTGGAAGTACTAGCCATAGCGATCAGACAAGAAGAATAAATAAAAGGCATCCAAACTGGAAAAGAAGTAGTAAAACTATCATTATTCTCAGATGACATGATATCGTACATACTAAATCCTAAAGACTCCTTAAAAAAACTACTGGACTTAATAAATGAATTCAGCAATGTAACAGGAAACAAAATTAACACCCAGAAATCTATGGCTTTTTTATACACCAACGAAAGTCCTGTTGCACGAAATTCATGCACTCAGGGGTGAGGGGTCCTTCAGCCTGGCCTGCAGTCTCTCCCAGTCCAGGAGCCCCACGACTGATCACCCCGCAGAGGAAGGTCCCGCCCACCACTGCCAGCCTGGTAGCCTTTTTGGGGCAATTGCGGAGCCCCCTGGCCGGTGGCCTGGGCCTCCCTCAGTGAGGTGATGGTGGGGGCCCCGATCAATTGCATCGCATCCACGTTGGTGGCGGCAGTCAGTGCTGGGAAGCTGCAGTGCCTATGGTCATATCAGTCAGTGCTGGGTCGCTGAGGCACCCGCGGCAGTCAGTGCTGGGTCGCAGAGCTCGCCACCCAGGAGGGACAGAGAGATCAGCAGTTCAGCCCACTTGCCAGTCCCTGCCCACCGGAGCCTGCTGTGTGCAGCCTGGCGTTGGGTCGGCCATTCAGTAGTTTTGGATGTTATGGACCCTGGCTCTTTATATATTAGGATAATGAACTCACAGAAAGAGAAACTAAAAAAAAATCCCATTTACCATTGCACCAAAAAAGTTAAGATACCTAGGAATAAACTTAACCAATGAGGTAAAAGACCTGTACTCGGAAAACTATAGGACACTGACTGAAAAAAGAGATAAAGATATAAACAAATGGAAGAATATATCATGTTCATAAATTAGTAAAATCAATATCATTAAAATGTCTATACTACCCAAAGCAATTTATAGATTCAATGCAACTCCCACTAAAATACCCAGGGCATATTTCACAAACCTAGTACAAACACTCCAAAAAATTCATCTGGGATAAAAAAAGACCCCCAATAGCCACAGCAATCCTGAGAAAGAAGAACAAATTTGGAGGGACCACAATACCAGATATCAAGCTATATTACAAAGTCACTGTTCTCAAAACTGCCTGGTACTGGCACAAGAACAGACATATAGACCAATGGAACAGAATAAAGAACCCAGAAATCGACCAAGCCATTAATGCTCAATATTTGACAAAGGAGGCAAGAGCATACAATGGTGTTAATACAGTCTCTTCAATAAATGGTCCTGGGAAAATTGGTCAGATACATGCAAAAAATTTAAACTAGACCACCAACTTATACCATACACAGAAATATACTCAAAATGCATAAAAGACTTAAATGTAAGAGAGGAAACTATAAAAATCTTAGAAGAATCAATAGGCAGCAAAATATCAGACATATGTTATAGCAATATCTTTACTGATACAGCTTCTAGGGCAATGGAAACTAAGGAGAAAATAAACAAATGGGACTACATGAAAACAGAGAGATTCTGCAAGCTTTTGAAGAAACCATCAACAAAACAACAAGAAAGCCTACTGTTATGGGAGAACATATTTGCCAATGTTAACGCTCTGATAAGGGTTTAATTTCTAAAATTTACAGGGAACTTAACAAAAGGAAGGTAAACAATCCAATCAAAAAAATGGGCAAAGGACCTAGACACTTTTTGAAAGACATAAGGAAGGCTAAGAGACATATGAAAACATGCTCAAAGTCACTAATCATCCAAGATGCAAATCAAAACAATGAGGTTCCTGACATTCTCACACCCATCAGAATGGCTGTCATCAACAAACAAGTGAGTACGTGCAGAGGTCTGACCTCTCTGTAGTGGAAGGAGTCAAAAGCTCCAGACTACAGAGACCCAACCCAATTCCAGGCGAGCCCCTGGGGCACCCACACTCTTGCGTGGAAAATCTGGGACCATCAGGCGGAAACTCAGGGGAGCTTCGGAAGGCAGAGATCAGGCGGAAACTCAGGCGAGCGCACAAAGGCAGGGCTGAGGAGAAGCCAAGACTGTCAGCTCAGCCCTGAGACTCCGCCCTATCCAAGGTGAGCACAGAGGCTTCTTCAATTTTGCAAGTCTGATCCTATAAGACTGTCTCCAATACAGAAGGTATCCCAGAGTAGACACAGCTGATACCCACATCTAATTGGCCTGAAGGTCAATTCCTCCAAGGGATACCAACAACAATAAAGACTTAGCTACAACAAGGCTGTATAGGCAGTCCACAAAGGGGAGCACCAAGAGTGTCTACCTCAGGTAACTGAGGAGGCTGACCCACTGGGCCATATAGGACACCAAACACACAAAGCCATCCTACCAACTCTGGGAGGCAGCGAAAATGCTGAGACAAGGATATAAGTCTCAAACAAAAGAGATGGAGGATATAGAGTTCAAAACCACGGTTTTAAGGTTATGCAAGAATATCCTAGAAAAGGCCAATAAATTCATGAGACCCAACTAAAAATTAAACATAAACTGACTAAACTGGAAAATATTATGCAGAGATCCAACAGCAGAATGGAGGAATACAAGAATCATGTCAAAGAGCCAAAAGACACTCCTCTGGAGAAGCAAGAAGATAAGAGAATCCAGAAAGTTGAACATAGTGTAAGGAGCCTCTGGGAAAACTTCAAGCGTACCAACATCAGAATTATGGGGGTTCCAGAAAAAGAGAGTGCAAAATACTGAAAACATACTTGAAGAAATAATTTCAGAAAACTTCCCCCACCTGGTGAAATAAATAGACTTACAAGTACAGGAAGCATACAGAACCCCAAACAAGAGGAATCCAAAGAGGAACACTCCAAGACACATCATAATTAAAATGCCAGGGCAAAAGACAAAAAGAGGATCTTACAAGCAGCAAGAAAAAAGCAGTTGGTTACCTATAAGGGGGCACCCATATGACTATCAGCTGATTTCTCAACAGGAACTATGCAGGCCAGAAGGGAGTGGAAGAAATATTCAAAGTGATGAATAGCGAGAACCTACAACCAAGATTACTGTATCCAGCAAAGTTATCATTCAGAATTGAAGGGCAGATAAAGAGCTTCGCAGATAAGAAAAAGCTAAAGGAGTTCATCACCACCAAACCAGTATTATATGAAATGCTGAAAGGTATTATTTAAGAAGAGGAAGAAGATAAAGTGAATTAAAAATCTGAGGAACAGAATAAACTGGGGAATATAATAGAATCAGGGGCAAAGAAAGGGAGTGGATTGATAATTATCAGGGGGAAAGGAGTGTGGGGGTGCAGAAAGAGACTGGATTAAAATCGTGTAACTTATGGATGAGGACGATGGGGGTGGGGGATAAGGGCAGAGGGTGGGGAAGCGGGTGGAATGGAGTTATGGGGGGAAAAAAGGAGAAACAATTGTAATAATCTGAGCAATAAAGATTTATTAAAAATAAAAATAAAAAAAGAAAGAAAGCTATAGTACATCTACACAACGAAATACTACGCTGGGGTAAAAAAGAAGGAATTCTTACCATTTGCATGCAATAGCATGGATGGAACTGGAGAGCATTATAAGTGAAATAAGCCAGTCAGTGAAAAAAAAAAATACCACATGATCTCACCATCCTATATAATAAAAGGCTAATACACAAGTAAACCAAATGGCGGAACAATCGAACAACAGGTAGGTATGACATGAGCTGACCACCAGGGGGCGTGTGTGAAACATGGTAGGTGTTGGCTGTGGCGGGATGGTGGAGCAGATGAACGGGGGTGCCAAACCAAGGTGGGACACCAGTTGCTGTCATCAGGGTGACCCTCTGGTGGTTACTGAATATTATTTACTCCTTCGCACCTCGATCCCTCCCGGTGCTCCCATCTGCTGCCGGCACCAGACCTACTCACACCCACTGATGGCACCAGAGTTGCCGCTCTCACCCACAGCTGGCACCACTCTTCACATCAACTGCTGGTGCCCATCGTCAATCCCAATCATTCATACCATCAGTGGATATGAGCAACAGCTGCCAGTCCTGATCGCCCCTGAGTGAGGGCTTCTCCACAACCCATGTTCCGTAGGGGCGATCGGGGCAGCAATCACCATTTGCACCCGCTGCTGGGGCCAGCCCCAATTGTTCTGTGCCATCAGTGAGTGCGAGTGGGGCTGGTGCCATCAGTGCATGGGGGTGGTGGCAGTGGGAGCGGGGCTGCCAGCAGACAGGGGACCGGGAGCTGCAGCAGGAGGGGCCAGGCAGGGGTGCTGAGACCCCTGTGCCTACCACAGCTTTGAGGCCCCCAGTTCTTTTCAAGGTGCATAAATTTGTGCACCTAGTTTATGATATAAAGAACATTATAAACTGATGAACAAAAATAGATACAGAGGCAAGAAGCATCAAACAGACTGTCAAACTTCAGCAGGAAGGCTGGGAAGGGTTGGGGGGGGGGAGGTAAGAGATCAACCAAAGGACTTGTATGCATGCAAATAAGTATAACCAATGGACACAAGACACTGGGGGGGAGGGGGAGATGACGATGATGACAACGTGAGGGCATGTGCCAGGGAGTAGGGAAGTCTGGGGGAAGGCCAATGGGAAAAAAAGGGAGACATATGTACTACTATTTGTAATATTTTAAACAATAAAATAAAATTAAACAAAATTAAGCACATCTACACAACGGAATACTATGCTGCTGTAAAAAAGAAGGAACTTTTACCATTTGCAATAACATGGATGGACCTGGAGAGCATTATGCTAAGTGAAATAAGCCAGTTGGAGAAAGACAGGTATCACATGATCGCACTAATTTGTGGAATATAATGAACAACATAAACTGATGAACAAAAACAGACCCAGAGACAGAGGAACACCAAACAGACCACCAAACCTCAGAGGGAAGGCAGGGGAGGGTTATGGGGAAGGTGGAAAAGATCAACCAAAGGACTTGTATGCATGCATGCATATTGCATAACCAATAGACACAAACATTGGGGTGGTGGGGGCTTTTCCTGGGGGATGGGAGTGGCCAGGGAGGGATCGATGGGGGAAAAAGGCGATATGTAATACTTTAAACAATAAAAAACAACAACAAAAAAATAATAACATCAATACAAATATTCCCACTATGAAATATTCTCACTTTTTGTTGGTTTTTAAAGGTCCTTTGGGGTAAAAAAAAAAAACAACCTTGTAACATTCAAACAGAAGACACAAGACAGAATCTAATCAGAGAATAAAACAGAGAAAAAAGATTTCATAGTAATATTAACTTTTTGAATGCAAGTTGCTGAAAGACCTGATCAGTGACTTTGGGAAATTCTGGTTCCTACCCTTATTCAGTTGGTTAGTTTTATTTGTTCTTCACTGTATAACCCCCTCTACTAATAAAAGACTTCTAACTTTAAGCAGGAACTCAGAAGTTATGACTTGTACAGAAAGTCAAGTAGCTTTCTAATCCCAGGAACAAGAAAGTTCCTGGTATTTCCCCTGAGGTGCACATAACCAAGTACATGTCCATGCATACCTTCTGATCAGCACTGAGGGGGCAAGAGGAGAAATTCATAATCACCAGGAAAATAGTTAGGATAACGTCAGATCTACCAGAATTTTAACTAATATGCACTCTGCCCCACAGGACTGAGAAATGGAATGTTCTGAAGCTGAAAAGTTCATATTCAAGCTTTTAAGGGAAATGATCCCTATCATTTCCTATCCTAGACTCTCTGAAACTTTCCTTCCTCACAAGTTCATTTCCTAGCTAACTCAAGCAAAGACGAGACAGTGGCAGAAGGCAGCTCCAAATAAAATTTTAAAGAAGAATTTTACCCTCAAGCATCTATTCTGTCCTAACTCGACCCTGTTTCTCTGGTAGTCTAGCGCTTTCATACTACCTGGAAAGTCCAGGTATTTCATGACTTCTGCCATCCTACCATCTTCAGTTTAGTATACTTACTAATTGTAACCCTACCCATAGCAGCTGCATCTCCTTACTAAATAAATACATATATTCTAGTTACTCTTCAAATTAGTCTTCAAACTGAACTTGGAGATATAAGTCAGTAGTTCATGTTCAGGTGCCAGACATTTCAAAGTGATAATCCTCTTTGTAAAGCACTTATGTAGTTAAAATTTATTTTTTTTGTTCCTTTTAAAAGGCTCTCTGGGGTGAAAAAGCCTTATAACATTCAAACATGAGAGACAAAACAGAATTTAATAAAAGAATACAATAGGGCCAAAACCGGTTTGGCTCAGTAGATAGAGCGTCTGTCTGCAGACTGAAGGGTCCTAGGTTCGATTTCGGTCAAGGACATGTACCTTGGTTGCGGACACATCCCCAGTAGGGGATATGCAAGAGGCAGCTGATCCGTGTTTCTCTCTCATCGATGTTTCTGACTCTCTATCCCTATCCCTTCTTCTCTGTAAAAAAATTCAATTAAAAAAAAAAAAGGAATAAAACAGGGAATAAATAAATCATAAAAATTTGGAATTTTACTAACAGAAAATGACTTTAGTATTAAATATTTATATGCACTGAACATAAGAACAAATGTTCACTGAAAAAATTATTAAAAGGTAATTTAATAATTTAATAAAAAGTTATTAAAAGGTTTCTGAATTCTTCTAGTAATATTCATTTGTTACTGTTCATCATTAACAGGCAACATGAAGGAAACAGTCCGCCTGCATACCCTGCTTCCAAGCCACCCAGACAGACCCAGATGTTGTTTCAGGACCTAGTCATTTCCAGCTGCAGTGCTATGACAGAAGCTGGTCTCTATGCACCTGACTAGCGATATGAAGAGTCAGCTTTTGGGCACAGCTAATCCCACCCCAAATCACGTACAGTCAAAACACAGATTTAAATACCAAAAGGACTCTTAGAGACAGCTATTCTAGCTACCTCACTTAGAAAAACTGGTTTTCAAACAATCTATTTATAACAATAAAAGTATAATATGCTGCAGAAACCAGTTTGGCTCAGTGGATAGAGCGTCAAGCCTGTGGACCGAAAGGTCCCAGGTTCGATTCTGGTCAAGGGCATGTACCTTGGTTGCGGGCACATTCCCAACAGGGTGTGTGCAAGAGGCAGCTGCTCAGTGATTTTCTCTCATCAATGTTTCTAACTCTCTATCCCTCTCTCTTCTCTGTAAAAAATCAATGAAATATATATATATATATATATTTTTTTTTTTTAAAGCATAATATGCTAATTAGACTGGACGTCCTTCCAGACAAAGCCGCAGTGGGCGGGGTTTGTGGCAGAGGCCCCCAGCTATGGCAGCAGATGAGGGCCAGGGCCAAGGCCTTTGCACAAATTTCGTGCACTGGGTCTTTAGTTATTTAGAAAAAGTATTTTCTATTTAATTTGCACTTAACACTTACACAGAGTCACAAATGTCATAATTAAAATCTGTGTTCCCGATCCTAGAAAGACTGACAGCAGCATCCCTTTTCTTGGAGGACGGAATATATCACCATGAACTAATTTCCAGCCAAATTCTTCCTGGGCATCCTCCTAAAAAGAAAACGAAATTATTTGTCATGTGACATCACCAAGACAACTAGACAGTTTATTCACAATTGAAAAAGATACAAAAAATTTTTTTTAAAACTTACAAATGTTAATATTTATTTCAATTTTGAAGTATAAGCTTGAATTATGGAGCTTTACCATTTTCCTGAATTGTTTTAAAGGAATGCTGTGTGTTATAGTCTACTAATACTACAGTTACAAAGGAATTTTAAAAAGAAATACCAAGATGTGATACCTACCTAGTTCTAGTCTAAGCTTTATGATCCATCTTAACATCTTAATTTTTAATCACTCTCTATCCTTTTCAAGCTATATTCATTAATCTCCAAAATAAACTAGATCTCATACCTTTTTTGCTGGTACACAACACATGCACACCGGGAGTTAGACTTTACCATGTCATTTACGAGGAATGTACAAATTGAAGTTTTATTAAAAGTACAAGGGCTCTAAGTGGATTAAATAAAATTATATCTGATATTGGCTTCAAAGTAATTGGGGGTAGGGAAAGAGTAGGTGGGATTCTACAGATAAAACAAAACTGGACCTGAGTTGATAACTGTTGGACCAAAGTGATAGATATACTAATCTCCTTGCCAGAATGAATGTCTGTGTTAAAAGTATGGGCAGAAATTATATGCATTCCTTCTTTTAGGTGACGTAATGGATTAGCTAGACAAGGAACCAAAAGTGATTACTTTTTTATTGAACAAGTATACTGAAACATTCAAACAATGTAAGTGAAAGCTAAGTTTCCAATAAAGAGTTAGGTCCACTTTCTTGGAGTAAACAAATGTGACTAGATTTTATTATTGTTGTAGAGATACTCTACCTATATATAAACAAATGCATGAATAGTTTCTTTCCCCCCCCAACAAATGGTAGCTTATTATATACCACTAGTAGCCCTGCACATGAATCTGTGCACCAGTAGCTCTCCGCCAGCTGCCCTGCCCTCCTGTAGCTCCTCCCCAACCCCTCAGCCCCCCATCATAGCTCGCTGCCCTGCCCCCTCCTGTAGGTCTCCTCCGCCCGCTTGTAGCTGGCTACCCCACCCTCCTGCTGATCCGTTATGCGGTCATTAAGTGGTCTGTCATTACACTTCATGGCATAACAACCATTTGCATATTATATCTTTATTATATAGGATATTTCATATCTTATGTTTTTAGTCTAGTATCATGTGGTGCTGTTCCACCTTTGTATATACAGCATTGCCTCATTCTTTTTAATGCTTACAAATGAACAAAGTATCTTGAAATTATTTTAACAAAATATGTAATAAAACAATAAAAAATCATGAGAAAGGATTACAGAATAGAAGTGCTAAAAAGCTTATAAACCTTAACATGTTCTTTTCTAATTAGAAGAAACAGAAAGGTTAAGAGGGAAGGTTAAGAGGCTGGGGAAGAGAAAACAATAAAAATCTGAGTTTTTTGTATTTATGACAAGTCATTGTGGTTCTTACGGAAATTTTGTTAAATAGCTGTTATAAATGAAAAGCTATAAAATATATAACATTATGCAACTTAAATTGAGAATAAATGAGGATGGGACAGTAAGTTACTTTGAATATACCAAAAGGTAGAAATCATAAAGGTTCAATTAAAATAAATTTTTAAAAATTTAATATGCACACAAATAAAAATTTCTTGGGAGTTATTTCATTCAACTTTGCTGTTTCACCACTGAGTGTATGCTGGGAATGGAATAACTGACAGACCTGACAGCATATAAGTGAAAAAGAGGACAGAACCAGCTGTGCACCTACATTCTGCACCAAAATACTGACACAGATGAGGCTGTGAACAGTTCAGTTTTCTATGCTGTGGTGAGTGACTTTCTAGAAAATGTCAAATTCTTAACCATGATTTTCTAATTTGAAAATGTGAATTCAGGGTAACTTTTGAGAAGAATCCTATATAATTGAGAGCTAATATGCTAATGGTTGTGATGCCCCCATGCCATAATGACTGTTTAGCAGGAGGCTGCGTGCAAGGCAGGGTGGAGCTGCCACATTGCTCCAGAGATGGGGCAGAAAGGGGAGGTGCCCCAAGAAGGTGGACCATCCTATGGTGGGGAGGGTGGAGGAGAGAGCCCATAGCGCCCTCCTTATCAGTTCTTTGCCACCCACTGCTCACACTCAGGGCACCCGCTGCCCACCTGCCAGGGGAAGCAGTGCTTGAAACTCTGCAGCAGGTGGGAGGCTTCCATGCTCTCCTCTGGGGCCATGACGGGGCTGAAGCGGGGAGGCGCCTGGAGGAGGCGGGACTGAGGGCGGGGCTCGAAGCAGCCAGAGAAGGCTTGAGGGGTGGGGAGCGGGCCAGGTGCACTAGAGCTCTGGGTGGAGAGGTTAAGGTGTCAAGGCTGGATGGCTGAGTTGCGTAGGGCCGCGCTTTCGCACATTCTGCCTAGTTATTATTTAAAACCTTTCCATATTGGGGGAACCAAAATGGAAATCAATATTTGCAAAATACGTAATTGTTGAGCCACTATTCTAATCACCTGAAATTAATACAAAACAATACTGAATAAAAACTGTAATTGAAAATTTTTTTAAAAATCAAACCTTTTCAAAGAAAATATAAAGACATTTCTTGGAATAGAAGAATGGTTCAAATGTTTCACTCACCGTAGAATCCATCTGATTATATCTGGCAATATCTTTATGCAGTGTCCGTAGCATAATCATAGCAACCATTCCAGACAAGAAGAGGACAATGACCAGGGAATTCATAATGCTGTAGAAATACACGTCAGGATTAACCTGTATCTTAATCTTTGCAACAGTGAAACTCCTTTTTAAGTTGTTTATTAAATAACATTAATACAGTATTTTTCAAAATAAAAATTTTACCTAAAATTCAATAAATTTAATGAACTGTATTCTGCTATGTGTCCTTCCAGTGTATACATAATTTTGTACAATAATAGTACCATGAACAGTTTTCTAGACATGAACAGTTTTCCAGATGAAAGTTTTGAGTCACTCTTTTAAGAGAGAATAGTCATAACAATAGCAGTAGCTTGTTTATTGAGTACTCTTCCTTTCCAGGCAATGTACTCAAATGCTGTTTCATTATTTCCTTTAACCCTCAGAACAGTCCCATGAGGCAGCTACTTCTAGATAAAAAAATGGACTCTGAAAAATGAAGTGACCTGGTCTGACTCATAACCAGTAACTTAAATCCAGGACTGAACCCATCTCTGATTTAAAAGGTCAGACTTTTGAATAACTGAGGAGAATTTGAGTGAATCAGATGTTTAAAGAGACAAAGAATAGAATAAGTATAGAAAAGAAAGCAGATTAATTATAGTCTTACCTAAACCACTGAATGTGGGTATGAGGCATAGATTCCAGAATATAGTCCCATCTAGATGCCCACCTGATCTCTTTATCTTCCTACAGGGATTGAAAACAAAACAAAACTCCTTAAATAAGTATTTGCTGACAAAATATATTAAGAATCCCCAAATTTCCATTCTCAGCTTGACCTTCCATTCAATCAACAAATGCAATTTCTTATTATCATAATTTGGGTTAGTCATGAGATTCAGGGAGTTTCAATTTACTGAAGTCTCAGGAAAATCAGGATGAGATTAAATAGTAAACAAAAAATAATAAAAGTTCCTACAAGTACCTACTTACTTGTACTTTTTCAAAATCTTGCTTTAAATTTTAAATAATAAGGGTGTATTTTAGATATTAACATTTAGGGCTTTATTTAACTTTTTCAGAAAATTGAGTGGAATAAGTTATTTGCTATGACACCATCTATCTACGCCTATAAAACACTTAAGTAGACCAAATTATAACCAAGGCACACTGAACATCTGGGAGGTGTCACCCACACGGAGCTCTTAATACTTAGAAAGAAATATATACTGTTTATTATACTAGGCTTACAAAGTTACACACCATATGGGGATAGTAAATGTCACAACTAAACTGAATTGCCAAAACAGTTTATTAAAAATAGGCGTGGAATACTGCCTAAGATCCTCATAAAATAAACGTTTACTTTCCTCCTAAAAAACTTCTCCATTAATTAAAACACTCCCCCTTGAATTCCCTATGAACCTATTTAGATCATTTACCATCAGGAAATTTTTAATTTAAGTGGTCCAGTGCACGAAATACATGCATGGGTAGGGTCCCTAGGCCTGGCCTGTGATCAGGGGCCTCTGGCTGCTGGCGAGGGCCTCTCTTCACTGGCTGCCAGCTCCTGGTTGGGGCCTTAATTCCAAGCCACCCCCTAGTGGTCAATGCACATCATAGTGAGCAATTGAACTCTCAGTCTTCCAGTCAAACTCCTAAGGGGCCACTTTGCATATTAGCCTTTTATATAGATACTCAAACCCAGATTTAAAAATGGTGTTTTTCCCAAATGCTTGTAGCATATATCTTTGACAATTTCATACCAACTTCTAAGCCTATTTTCTACCTTTTGCCTTAAATGTATCTCCTTTAAAAAAAAAAATAAATTTTTATTGCTCAGATTATTAAATTGTTTCTCCTCCCCCCCCCCCCATAGCTCCCTTGCACCCACTTCCCACCCTACCCTCTGCCCTTACCTCCCCCCATTGTCCTCATCCATAGGAGTAAGATTTTAATCCAGTCTCTTCCTGCACCCTCCACACCCTTCCCCCCTTATAATTATCAATCCACTTCCTTTTTTTGCTCCTGATTCTATTATATTCACCAGTTTATTTTTAATTCACTTGATTTTTAGATTCACTTGTTGATATATATGTATTAGTTGATCATAATTTCTATCTTTTTTCTTCTTCTTCCTCTTCTTAAAGAGTACCTTTCAGCATTTCATATAATACTGATTTGGTGGTGATGAACTCCTTTAGCTTTTTCTTATCTGACCTTTAATTCTGAATGATAACTTTGCTGGATACAGTAATCTTGGTTGTAGGTTCTTGCTATTCATCACTTTGAATATTTCTTGCCAATCCCTTAGGGCCTGCATAGTTTTTCTTATGGCTTACTTAATAGGACTCAATTCTCCAAGTTGCTATGCTTCTCATTTAAATGAAGACTTAAGGGAGAGATCAACCAAAGGACTTATGTGCATACATATGAGCCTAACCAGTGGTAAGGACAATAGGAGAGTGGGTGCATGAGTGTGGAAAGGATTGGAATAGGGGGTTGAGAACAAATATGTGATACCTTAATCAATAAAGAAAAAAAAAAATGAAGACTTAGTTTTGAGTGTGATTATATTGCCTGGTGCACTGATAAACAATTCCAAAACCCAGCTCATTAAAAACTAATATAATTGATAAGCTTAATCATTAATATTTTAATTAGTATAAGTAGTATGAATTTAAAATCAATTTGAGTTACATTAAAAATAAAAGCAAACTCACCTTGAAGCTAACAGAGTAAGTATAGGCAATTTTGATCTCCCCAGAGGCCTTGTTACTTATATCCATGGGGGTTTTAATGCAGTCTGGTTTATCTACATTGGTATGTTTGAAACTGTGGGAATAAACATTTTGGAAAGATGCTGATAAAGTACAGTTTCAAAAAATTAGGTAAAGGTTACAGATTTTATAAATATTTCACAAAAAGGTTACAGATTTTGTAAATATTTCACAATGCTGAAAATCAAACAAAATTATTTATGTCACATTTAATAGTATAAAACATTTACTTCACTCAGATAATGGGCTTAGTTAGAAGAATGGATATAAATTATTGCTCAAAACTAGGAACAAACTTTTGAAAACACTATATGTGAAAAACATTTAATAATCTTAAACAAACAAACAAACATTGAGGGAGTTTAAATTAACTGCCATCTTATTATGGGGTGCATTTCTTTACCGCCAGTGAAAATGGCTAATTCAATTGGTGGTGGTGGGGATGTTCCTGGAAAAAATGGAATATTTGATCAAAAAGACCTCACAAATAACTAATAGGTACTTTAACACTAAAAAATTGACAAGCTAAAGAGATGCCCTTTTAATGACTTGTCATATACTGGCATCTAACACTGCATGGAGACTTTCAAAATGACAGCACTAATCATCTCTTCTAGGCCTCTGATGAGAGAACAAGCTGCAAATATCTGAAGCAATGCTTTTCCATTGTAAAGGGAACTCTGTTCCAAACACCTCACACTTTCCATTCCAGCCTGACATGGAAAAGACAAAACTTCCTGACTTAAAAACAAAACAAAAAGACACTTTGGCTTGACCACTTGACTACTGACAAAAAAATAAAAATAAAAACCCCCAGAACTCAGTAACAAATCATATCAAAGGGAGTTTAGTAAAATCAATCCTGAAATGCCAGATTATATGCTAGAATAAGGAAAAAGTTAATAAGGCCTGAAATATTTATTCTTTGTGTCTAAATTTCACTTATATTTAATTACTTTTTATGTTTATATAGTTACCTTCTTGGTTCAAGTTTAGCAGCCACTAATCTTGCTCCCATGGACCCAGTTTCAACAACATGGTAGTGTATTTTTATGTCAACGTGGTTGAAGATGTAAAATGTATCTCTTTCATGGAAATCTGACTGTGGAACAGAATTTAAAATTAAAGGTAGAAACTGGCTATATAACAGTTAAACATAAAAATTAGTCAAAACAAATAGGAACATTTAAGCTTAGGCAGGATATGAATCCTTCCCCATAAAAATATTTGTTTTAAGCTTAAACTCGTTATAAGCCAAACTAATTGGCAGAGGTACAAATTACATTTCTTTAATGTTTTAATTCTTACATAAAACTTAATAAGAGCTTGTTATAAAGAATGCATCTAATATTGTCTAGGTTTTCACAATATAACTTACAAAATAAATTTTAAAATATTATATTTTAAGTGTGCTAAAACTTAAACATTTTAACACTTCTCCTCCATGAAGTTTATAAGTTCAGTCTAAACTAGTAACCTAAATAATTCCAAGGTCTCTGGTCAATTCTCACTAAAGTGTTACAAAAAAGTGTTAAAGTGAAACTGATACAACCAGTTTCATGACCAAGCTCATGTTAACATCTAACAAGTCATATTCATTAAGAGATTAAATCAGGGTGACCTGATTATATAAAATTTAATTTAATATACATCCCCAATAATTTTAATTACTTTCAATATTAATGTCTTCACTTTATTATGACCTCAAAGACAGATATCTTTTTAAAAAGTGTAAAACCAAACTTTTGCAACACATGGACTTAAATTTGCAATACAAATTTCATGGATTTACATTAAGATCTTTTTTGCACTACATTATCTATTTATTTTTATATATAAGATTTATGAATCTAACTTTTAACAGAATCAGGACAAAAAAGTCCTAGCCCTTTACACGTAACACTCTCTAAGTAAAGTAAATGTTGAACTAAATCTGATTTTTGTTCAAGTTAAATTTGTACACTGTTAATTTGACTTTGATTTAAGATCTAAGGAGTTATAATTCAGAACATCTGAACTGCACTCATTTGATGAGTATATCAATTAGGTCTGGGTAAAGAATGAATCTTCCTACCAAAAACCGTATTTTAAAAAGAAGCATAGAGCCCAGGTGATGTGGCTCAGCTGGCTAAGCTTTGTTCCATGCACCAGGAGGTCGCTGGTTCGATTTGTGGTCAGGGCACATGTCTGGATTTTGGGCTCAATCCCCAATAAGGGGTGTGCAGGAGGCAGTGCATTGAAGTTTCTCTCTCACTGATGAGTGGGTGTGTGTGTGTCCCTTCTTCTCTCTGAAATCAATAAAAGCATATTTTAAAAAGAAGCATTGCGTTTTTATTAAAACTTACATTAATAACACAGGCATCTTTAGCACGGCCTTTATCTGTAATGTAACAGCCAATAGGAAATCCAGGATTACAGTACTTCTGACCATCTTCGACATCATAACACCATGTTACAGGCATATTATCCACAATCCTACACAGAGAAATAAAAATCAAGTTAGTAATAACTAAAAATAACTAAGAATTACTGCTCAAATATGTCATCACTTCATAAAAGTTAATGAAATGTGATATTTCATAAGTAATAGCATTATGCCAATATTTGATATACTATAGTGAAGAAAAAAAACTCACAGTAGAAACTATAAATGTACATAGGAGAGGAAGTTTAATTAATTGATTTACTGCAATTGTTAATTTAACAATATCTTTATTTAGACACCTAGGTATAATGGTCTTTTAGCAGAACACTTACAAACTTACTAAATAGATGCAAAGCAATATATCTAGTTCCTCAGAAAAAATTTATGAAACAGAATAGAAGCAAATGTCTTTTAATTCTCAAGCAATTCAATAAAAAGGAAAAGAATGTAATTGTAAGATATGGGAAAATATTTAACTTAAGGGCCAGGTGGAAAAGTGAAAAATATAGTATTTCTAAAACTGTGTAAATCCAACTTATGTCTAAAAGAAATGCTGCGATAAAACTACAGAAACATATCTTTCAAGTTCTATAGTGAAAAAATAACTTTTTAAACAAAAATAATAAAAATAAAGAGTAAAGTTCTGTAGCATTGCATAACTAACTACATTAAAGTCCGAGCATGTGGTCCCCTATGCCCAGAGCACACTGCAGGATACAAATAAAAAAAATTACTGAAAATATACTAGCTGTATTACAGTCATAAGACAACACTCCAGGGCATGTTTTATTTGTTAATTAATGTATGCCTTAGGAAATAAAATTATGATTTTATATTTCCCCCAAGGTGAACATTAATGATCTAATAAAACATGTCTGGTCACATTTAAATGCTATTTAATAGTACCCAATGTACTAAGTTTTAGAATCACCTATACTATTAAATTGCTTATTATAACCAGCAGGCTAGTTGTTTCCATGAAAACACACACACACACACAAAAAAAAAAAAAAACACACAAAAAAACACACAAAAACACACAAAAAACAACACACACACACACACACACAAAAACACACACTATAAAATATTAGAAGCATGAAAGCAATGCTTATAAATAATTCAGATTTTTCTGAAGGCCTAAATAATCAGTTAATTGCCTTAATTTTTTAGAGGATGAAGTTCAATCAATGAACATAGACTACCAACATATTAAATACCAGAGGCTTGGTACACGTATTGGTGCACAAATTCATGCATGGGTGGGGTACTTCGGCCTGGCTGGTGATTGGAGCCAATCAGGGTGGCAGAAGGTTGGCCAGGGGGAGGGGCCACGGGAGATTGGCCAGCTGGTGGGAGGGGCCATGGGAGGTTCCAATCCAGGCCATTGGGGTGGCCACCTGGAGGGATAGGGGCCACGGGAGGTTGGCTGGTCGTAGGGAGGGACCAAAAGTGGTTAACCAGCTAAGGAGGCTCCTGGAGATTGGCTGTGGGAGTACAACGACCACCAGAAGGCAACTCCTGTGTTAAGTGCACGTCATAGCGACCGGTTAACTAGTTGTTTGGTTGATATATATTGATATATATACACATACACACACATACACACACACACACAATCAACAAGCACAAAATCGTGTATGGTTAGGGTCCCTAGGCTTAGCCTGGCCTCCGCTGCCCTGAGACGCTATGTGAAGCTCCCCACCCCGGACGCTCCACGATGCTTGTGGCCCCTTAACTGCTCTGGGAGGCTCCCCAGACTCCTTGACTGCTCCTCGAAGCTTGCTGCTGCCCCCCTGAAGCTCACCACTGGACGCTCTGTGAAACTGCCCCCCCCCGCCCCCCCGCAACTGCTCCACAAAATTTCCCTGCTCCGGGACTGCTTCATGAAACTTGCTGCTGCCTGAGTGACTGCTCTGCTAAGCTCACGGCCATCCCACAAAGCAGCCCACCACTGCCGCTCAACAGTCCCCAGTCCAACAGTCCCCAGTCCCGCCCTGCCACCACCAGCCCCCCATCATGGTGAGTGGCTCGGGGGCTGGGGAAGAGGGGGGGACCGAGAGGTGCTCCATGTACTTCACAGTGACCGTGCCTATTTGGTCATGATGCCACCTAGCTCTTTATATATACCGTGTTTCCCAGAAAATAAGACATCCTCCGAAAATAAGACGTAGCGCATGGAAAGATAAGACATCCCCTGAAAATAAGACATAGCGCAACTTTGTGAGAAAAAATTAATATAAGACTGTCTTATTTTCAGGGAAACATGGTATTAGGATATAATATCTTTAAGCTATCATATCAGAGAAAGTACCACATAAAAATTATAGTGCTAGTTACATAAAAAGAAATTAAGTGGTATTTTAGGTTTTTAAAAAAGTAAACATCCTATATTAATCGTTTATCTAATGATTTAACACAATAAACATTTCCCTGATAATAGAAAGCATTAAAAAGAACCCACAACTTACGCTTGGAAATAAATGTAAAAAAATTAAAGATTATCATTTTCAATTACTGCCTTGCTTGCTAAGTTAGGTAGTAATAGTTATTTGAATTTATAAAACAAAAAAATAATATCATATTTTCAATCTCATAATAAAAAAGAGAATAAGAAGAGGACTCAAAGGATAAAGGCTGAATAACTGGTCCAATTATTTTACCATTAAGAAGTCCTTTTCCATCATTTCCCTCTATCCTCCATGGATTCTATTTGAAATGCTTCTATCAATCAAACTTCACTTATCAATAACTCATTTTTCTAAATAAATTCCCAGAATTTCCGAGAATGGAATAACCTAAGTTGCTAAAATACATTCAGAAAATTGCAACCAAAAGCAAAGAAAATTGGCATCTAATTTATTCCATGTAATTCTAACCTGAATAAATTTACATTACTCATTAGATTTTTAAATTGTAAAACTAGCACATCATTCTCCTTTGCTAGCTTGATGGGTTCTGGGATTGAAATTCACTAGACTAACAATCTTCAAAGACACTTTTTTGTCAAAGAAGATACAGTCCAATTGGTTCTATGATACCAGAAAACTTTAGTACTCTGATAGCTAAAGAAATATACTTTTATAAATAAGTGTTTCAAAGTTCTGGAAACTTAGGCAAGAAGTATAATTACAAACCAAGTAGAAAATTCTGAAAGGAGTTCAAGTGTCTTGTGCTAGTATCAAAAACTATCTCTGTCTCTTCCCCTCCCTTCCACTCTAAAAATCAATGGAAAAAATATCCTCAAGTTAGGACTAACAACAACAAACAAATAAAACAAGAAAATATGGTTAAAAAGTTATGGGGAAAACCAATAGTTCATTCATGTTATGCTAGACAACTATGACAAGAATGAGGTACAGATCCATAGACATGTTTTACATGGAAAAATGCCCATATTTTCTTAAATGAAATGTGCAAGTTGCAAAATAATGTGTATAATATTTTGGTTGTGTTTTAAAAATGTACACACCCTTTCATATACCTGCATATGTATAGAAAATCTGGAAGCATACATAAGAAACAATAGTGCTACCTCTCACTATTAAAGAAGCTAAGGGTGATAGAAGACTCTTTACTTTTTATTTAAAACTAGAGGCCTGGTGCACGACATTCATGTACTAGGGACAGGGGGGAGGGGAGGTCCTCAGCCTGGCCTGCAACCTCTTGTAATCTGGGACCCCGAGGGGTCTTTAGCACTGCCACGGAGGTGAGAGGCTCCCACCACTGCCGCTGCACTCTCCAGCCGTGAGCCCGATTTCTGGCTGAGTGGCACTTCCCCTATAGGAGCACACTGACCACCAGGGGGGAGCTCCTGCATTGAGTAGAGAAAAATCCTATATAATAAAAGGCTAATATGCAAATCGACCGAACGGTGGAACCACTGGTCAATTGCATATTAGCCTTTTATTATATAGGATTTTTCTCTACTCAATGCAGGAGCTCCCCCCTGGTGGTCAGTGTGCTCCTATAGGGGAAGTTCGGTCGATTTGCATATTAGCCTTTTATTATATAGGATTAGGAGCAATCAGGCAAGCAGGAGAATGGTAAGGAGCCAGTGGTCCTGGATTGTGAGAGGAATGTCTGACTGCCAGTTTAGGCCTGATACAGGATTGAGCCTAAACTTGCAGTTGAACATCCTCCGAGGGGTCCTGGATTATGAGAGGGTGCAGGCTGGGCTGAGAGACCCCCAGCCCCCCGCCCCAAGAATTTCACACACCAGACTTCTAATCTATAATAATAAAAGTGTAATATGCTAATTAGATCGGGTGTCCTTCCAGATGACCTTCCAGATGAAGCCAGGGCTGCGAGGGAAGCCTGGGTCCCAGGTGCCAGAGGGAAGTCGGTGTAGGCAGCCAAGGGAAGGAAGGCCTACTCTTGTGTGAATTTCGTGCATAAGGCCTCTAATATATGAATAAAAGAAATGCTCTATGTACCAAAACAAGTACTAGATATAAAAGTGATCTAAACACAAAAGGTAATACATTAAGCTGTCAACCTCAGCAATCCTCTTGCAAGAAAAAGTCACTACTTCATGTTAATACTAATAGCAAAAAAAAGGAAATCAATTTGCTTTATTTTCCAGTCAATAAATTTATACATTCAGTAAAACAAGTTTCATCTTGAAAAGGAAAAAGTCAAAAGTCCAAAATCTCCATGTCTTACCAGTGATGTTGATAATTCAGTAGCATGCTTTTTTTCAAGAATTCTAACTTTTGTCTGTCTTCAGCTTTCTCTGTATGGTATGTTTTTGTACAAACAAGCTTACAGGTCTCCTTCTTATTAAATGTAAACTGTATGAAAATAAAATGTTAAGAAAATTAAGTAAAAATATCCAGATCCTTCACACCTATATCATAAAGTACTTATCTCATTAAGTGCACTAATATATTAATAACAAACATTTTAAAATTTGTCATAGCTCAATCAGATTTAAAATCACTCTTACTGTTCTTCCAACTTATCTAATCAATATCACTCCAATAAATTCAATTTAAAAATTTTTTAAAATTAGAAAAAATAAGCCCAGCCAATGTGTCTCAATGGTTGAGTGCCGACCTATGAGCCAGGAGGTCACTGTTTGATTCCCATGCTTACTTGCATGCTCGATCACCAGTGTGGGATGTGTAGGAGGCAACCAATCAATGATTCTCTCATCACTAATGTTTCTCTCTTTCCCTCTCTTTTCCTCTCTAAAAATCAAAAAAAAAAATTTTTTTTAATTAGAAAAAATAAAAATGTATTTTTATTTTGATAAGTAATAGTTTTTATTTTTATTTTTGGCCACTTTAATCAGTCCACCTTCTAAATATAAACAAGTCCTAGAAGACAAAAACAAACAAAATAAAGCAAACAAACAAAACACCCCTACATGTAGAAGAAAATGAACATCAGTCTCTTCAGAGTAAGGTCTCCTGACAATGTTTTGAAAATTATGGATTTGAAGGCTTTCTAGAAATAAGCAGACAAGTGTTTATGTCCCTATATTCATTTTGGTAGATGTTTGTTACCCTCCTGATAGCTAGGTAATGGAGATTCAGCAGTGAATAACATGGACTGTGATGTTAAAGTTACATTTGGATGTCTACTAATAAAATCAGAGTAGACATGATTTTTTTACTCACATTTGAAATGTGTCAACTTTCAGGATCTTATTTAATAATAAAACTGAAACAAATAGTAAGGTTGAAAAAATTTTTTCACCAAAGATTTTTTAAACCAAAGATTCCTCCAATTTGGGAGTATAAAATTTATTTCATGTGTGTAAAAATCATGACATTCACAACACAATATATAATGTAGGTTTATTTTATCAAGACCCATTTATGTCTTAATTTAAAAAATATCCTTCCAGGCATTCTAAAGGCTGTAATTTACTAAATTAGATGTATATAGCCCCTAACTGTATACCTTTTAATAAATTAGAACTTCGAAAAACACCTGCATATGTTTCACTTCTAAGTAGTCCATTCTTTTGTACATCATTTATTAAAATGCTTAACCAGTTTCTGTGCATCTGCCGACAAATGAATGTTCCAAATGTGGCCCACTGCTGCCACCTATCTGCCAAAAGTTTGCTCTGGAGGCATTGCCATTTCTGTATGTACAGCAATATTTATACAATTATTTAATATTTTTAACATTATATAAACCTTACACGTTTCTTTTTAAAGGGTGGAGATTTAGCCGAGACCAGTTTGGCTCAGTGGATAGAGAGTCGGCCTGCGAACTGAAAGGTCCCAGGTTCGATTCTGGTCAAGGGCATGTACCTTGGTTGCGGGCACATCCCCAGTAGGGGGTGTGCAAGAGGCAGCAGATCGATGATTCTCTCTCATCGATGTTTCTAACTCTCTATCCCTCTCTCTTCCTCTCTGTAAAAAATCAATAAAATATATATTAAAAAATAAAATAAAAAAATAAAAATAAAGGGAGATTTAAAAATAACTAAAGGTTTAGAGAAATAGGTATCAACCTTAAATTAAGCAGAAATAGACATTATACTAAAAGTGGCAAATCTTACACCTCAATCCAATGCTCACACAAGTCAATTGTGTGTTTAATTGTGAAAGAAAACAGCACACCTGAAAAATGACATTTAATCATAATAGCAAACACTTATTACCTCATAAGAGGAAATCTCCTATCTGAATCCTCATCATTCTGATCCATCAACACGGAATGCTCTAAGGCTCAGTCATTGGGATTCTTCTCTTCACTATCTATACCCACTCCCTTGGGAATTTTACCAAGTCCTGGTTTTAAATACCATTGATACACTGATGATTCTCAAATACATGTATCGATATAATAGATGAAGTGCTTAGTGAGAAAGTAGGAAAGGTAGCTAACCATAGGGTATAAGACATAGAAGACAAGAATGTAAAGCCAAGAGATAGAACTGTCAGGCTGGAGAATAAAACTTGGGGTCAAGTTATTAAAATTAGTGCTCAGCCTGCTTGGGTATGGCTCAGTGGCTGAGTGTCGACCCATGAACCAAGAGGTCACTGGTTTGATTCCTTATCGGGTCACCTGCCTGGGTTGTGAGCTTGGTCCCAGGCAGCAGGCAAACAGGAGGCAGCTGGGTGATGTTTCTCTCTCCTTGATGTTTCTATCCCTCTCTTCCCTCTTCTTTAAAAGTCAATGAGAACATCTTATCTAATAAAAGAGTAATATGCAAATTGACCATTACTCCAACACACAAGATGGTCATCCCCAGGTGGTCAAAGATGGACACCCTCATGTGGACACAGCAGTTCTGGGCAATCAGGCCTACAGGGGAGGGCAGCTGAGAGGGACCAGGCCAGCAAGGTAGGGCAGCTAGTGGTGATTAGACCTGCAGGGGAGGGCAGTTTGGGGTGACTAGGCCAGCAGAGGAGGGCAGTTGGGGGCAACCAGGCATGCAAGGGAGGGCAGTTGGAGGGGACCAGGCCTGCAGGGAAGGGCAGTTGGGGGGAACCAGGTTATCAAGGGAGGACAGTTAGGGGTGAACAGGCCTTCAGAGAAGGGCAGTTGGGGGGGAACCAGGCCTGCAGGGGAGGACAGTTAGGGGCAACCAGGCTGACAGGAGAGGGCATTAGGGGTGATCAGGGTGGCAGGGAAGGTCAGTTAGGGGCAATTGGGCTGGCAGGGAAGCAGTTAGGTGTCAATTAGGCTGGCAGGAAAGTGGTTAGGGGGTGATCAGTCTGAAAGGCAGAAGCAGTTAGGAGCAATCAGGCAGGCAGACAGACAGGCAAGCGTTTGGGAGCCAGCAGTTCTGGGTTGTAAGAGGGATGTCCAACTGCCCATTTAGGCCCAATCCCACCAGGCAGTCAGATATCCCTCGAGGGGTCCCATATTGGAGAGGGTGCAGGCTGGGCTGAGGGACAACCCTCCCATGCACAAATTTCATGCACTGGGCCTCTAGTGTGTGTGTGTGTGTGTGTGTGTGTGTGTGTTTAAATCTATCTATATAAAAGGCTAATATGCTAAGTGTCTGACCATACAACTGGTTGGTAATGAAATGGAATTTTTGGACTGGAACACATGGTGTTCCCCTGGGGAGATTGGTTCCCGGGCTCTTTGTCTGATGGAGTCAAAGAATGAATCCATGAATGGAAAGTGGTATAGCAAAGGTGGAAATTTATTGAAGAACAAGTACAGACTCCCCTGTGGAGAAAGGGAAAGAATCTCACAGCATAGAGTCCCACATGGGGCAGGGGAAGAGTCCCACTGAGTTCCTTTTTCGTATAGCTTATAAAGGCTGTAGATCTTTGTACCTTGATATCCCCTCTGATTGGTCACTATTCCCCTAGACTGATTACTATAGTAACTCCTGAGCGCAAAGGTGAACCTCACATGGGATATGTGAGGTTTTCCTCCTCTCCTTCCTTATTGCTTTCCTTTTTCTTTTAGGCTTTCTTTTCCTTTTGGATGAGGGGCTTCCTTACATTTATTTTATAAATATAGATCTTCTGCTATTCCCAGCTCCCTCATTCTATGGACATGTACCTGATGCAGCTTTTCAGCTTCCCTATTCTATGGAAATACACCTTCTGCTGCTCTTTAGTACTGAGGTTCTTTCATGGTCCCCTTAATTTCTAAAATTTCCTAAACCTGTCTTTTTCACCCCCCAAAATTCCTGTTTCACTATGACTCGCACTGACCACCAAGGGACAGACGCTCAATGCAGGAGCTGCTGTGACACACACAGGCCATTTACAGAGAAATGGCACCAGAGACCTGGCGTCCACAAAGCAACACTCAGCTTCTCCCAAGTGGGACACAGGCCTTGCCACTAACCTGGAGCAACAGCCCACCAAATCGCAGCCAATGCTACTGAGACCCCTATGGTGCAAAATGTAGCTCACAGCCCAGCCCAGCCCAGCCCAAAAATGGTGGCTGTGGGCAAATGACATCATATTCTCTCCCTAGCAACTGGCCTCCTTGCAGTTTCTCCAGCCCAGGAATATGACTTGCTTTATAGCCAGGTGCAAATAATTTACACTTTAACCAAATGTCTGTGAAGTGTTTTCCTGTGCCTCATCTCATTTGACCCTCATAGAAGTTCTAGAGTAGATAAATAGGAGACTCAGTAGAATCCTATGTTTTTTTTCATTAGTAAAAAAATGAAGATTTAGAAAGTTTAGAAACCTGACCTGACTGAAAAGAAGAAATGGTGGTACTTAAAAAATAACTTCAGGTTTTTTTACTGCACAGAATATAGTCAAACACTGCTACAGTTAAATATTTTACCCTTTGTTCTCCCTGTGTGATCAACAATAATAATCTGCTTCACGTTGATATTTACTGCTATATTGCTAACAATTACCTGAAAGAGAAGTTGAGATGCTTCACTGGGCTGAAAAAAGTTTACCGGTAGCTAAATCAGAAAGCGGGTCTAATTAAGTAAGTTTGTTCTATATCTATAAAAGGCTAAGTTGACTAGCACATATGTGATATATCGATATATAAAGCCAATTGCATGCGTGTGTTCAATCTGTCATTGTCGATTGTGAATTTGGTTGACACTTCTATTATAAAAAAAAAAAAAGGGCGATATTAAAATATTTCTTCTAATTAATTTCTTTTCAATGTGCACGAATCCGTGCACCAGGTCACTAATAAATAAAAAATAAAAGAAGTGCTCAAATGACCAAGATAGAGAGTTAAAGAAAAAATGCACTGTGCAGAATATGTTAAAACATATCTAACTTTATTTATATATGCTTGTCTGTGTATAAAATGTCAGGAAAGATTAACCAAGAAACTGATGCGAAACTGGAAGAGATTTAGTTTTCATTTTATATTCTTCTGTACTGTTTTTTTTTTTAATTAGTATATGGTGATACATTATTATTATAAACTAGCTTAATTTTTCTTAACAAGAGAGACCATTATTTTTTGTGCAGCAGGAGAACAGATGTAAAATAAACAGAGAACTGAGCAATATAGAAGGATAATAGGCTTAAAAGATGCTAAATTTAAAAGGTAGAATAATTTTGGGTGATGAGTATGTATCCTGAAGAGAATATTTTATTGTGCATAGATTGCTTTAACTAATGCCCTAAAAATATATCAAAGATGTTCCAAATATACTTTCCATGGTCAAAACAGAAAGGCTAGCTTCCCAAAACCCCAATGAAGGAGTCAAAGCCCTGCTGTCTTTGCGCCCGAAGAGGGGAAGGAGATGTGGAGCAGCTGGGGGCTACTTTTCATGACTGAAGGCTGGGTTCCAGGTCCCTTTGTAAGGTGAGGCAGGGGTCTGAGCACTAAAGAACAATGCTTGTTAAGACAAATTTATCCATGACACATTGTGAGAAGGGGAGGAATCTTTCTAAACTGAAACTTTAAGAAATTACGTATTTCTGCCCAGCTGGCATGGCTCAGTTGTTGAGCGCAACCTATGAATCAGGAGGTCCTGGTTCAATTTCCTGTCAGGGCATATGCCCGGGCTGCAGGCTCAACTTCTAGTTGGGGGCATGCAGGAGGCAGGCGATCAATTATTATATCTCATCATTGATGTTTCTATCTCTTTCTCCCTCTCCCTTCTCTGAAATCTATAAAAAAATATTTAAAAAATAACAACACAAGAAACTATTTCTGTATGAAAAAGAGAAATGAATTCCTCTTTAGTTATGAGAGCCAAGTTATCTCAACATTTTCTGTAAGGAAAAAATGGCAATTAAATAACATATAAAACTAAATACAAACCTTATATGGTGAAGGTTCAATTCTTTCCCCAAATAACACCTGACCAAGATTTTCAGATGGGCGTTTTCCTTCAGATGCTTGACAAAAATCAAACCTGGAGGAAAGAATATTTAAGTTTTCAAACATAAATGGAAACAGTGAAATAAAGATTGGGTGCTGATCATTACAGCACTTCTAATAGGTGAGTAAGGAATATATATATTCATACTGCCAAGTTCCATGTACCACATCATCCCAAAACAAAAAAGCCCCAAAATCTGAAAATTATACCTTAGAATGCTTTGATTTTTAAATACTTACAATGAGATTTAAATTATAAAATTTTTATAACTGATACATTGTAATTTATTTTTTTCATTCCAATGATAAAATAATTTATAACCTTCAATTGAATTTTACATAACTTATCTCTTAATTTTCTAATACAAATTTTTACTTAATAATGACATTTCAGGAAGATGTGTCAATTTTCCCTGGGTTTCTGCCTCATCCTGATATACTGACCAACACATCCCAAATCTGAGAAGCATGGCTACAGAGACTCTCTGGGACCGGAGTCAGCTGAAAGCTTCTTTCTGTGCTGTATTCCTTTGTATAACTAACCAGATTTTAATAAAGTTTTGTTTAAACATTACAGCCTACTTTCAACTTTGCTATTAAAAAACTAAGAGACAGCCCTGACCAGTTTAGCTCAGTGGATAGAGTGTCGGCCCACAGATTGAAGGGTTCCAGGTTCGATTCCAGTTGAGGGCATGTACCTTGATTACAGGCTCCATCCCAAGCCCCCATCGGGCTTTATGGGAGGCAACCAATCGTTGTCTGTCTCTTACATTGATGTTTCTCTCTATTTGTCTCTCCCCTTTCCTCCCACTCTCTCTAAAAAATCAATGGAAAAATATCCTCAGATGAGGATTAACAAAACAACAACAACAACAACAACTAAGAGACAATTCTGTGTTCACACTGGAATGATATGGAGTGCTTAAGACCAGCACAGTGATGGCTACAAATCAGTTAAGTTCCTAAGAGGAAGATGAATCTCAGGTGATCAAAAAACAAAAGCCCAAATGAAGACTCTCCATCTACTAGATTAAGAGATCCAATGAGTTTTCCCAAGAATATTCACAAAGATTTAAGGAGAGATATTTGTTTATATAATAAAATCACAAAGATTTAAGGAGAGATGTTTATATAATAAAACAAACAAGAACTAGAAAAAGCATTCAAGTTTCCAATAGTTTAATTTAAATTATGGTTCATCTATTCATGAATTTTGTACTCTCTTGTCATATATATTTAAGAATATGAATTCTTATAGGATAGTCTTACTTTTTTGTATGTATATCTTTTCCTAGAGTAAACATTTTTCCCCAAAAAAAACTCTTAAGATACCAGAGAAATTTAGAAGCCAACTAAAATTTAAGAACTATGTTTTACACCAAATAGGGTATAAAGTGGTCAAATACATAAAGGGTATTATGCAGCATTTTAATAATATTAAAAAATGGAAACAACCAATTCAGAAACAGAAAATTAGTGAAACAAATAAAAAATGAACACAAATCTCCACAAAGGAATAACAAACACCTACAAAAATACTGAGGTAGTTTCCTATTTTCATGAAAAGTTGCCCACAAAAGATTCAGTGAGAAAACCAAGGTGCAAATCAAGTTAATAGTATGAACCTATTTTGTTCATAAATGTGGTTATATAAGTTAAGATATGCAGAGAAAAAATGTGGAGGAGCAGACATTATAGTAAGTATTTCTGGGGACTAATTATGTGGCATACAGAATTTTGTTTAAAAATGGGAGGGGGGTATTATTAAAAAACTTAAAGAGAACAAAATGGCTCTTTGTCCAGTCAGATGAAAAAAAGAAATTTCTTGTTTTAGTTGGTGTGTCTATTGTATTGCAGGACATAAAAACACATTTTACATTTTAATAATCAAGACTACCCATTTAAAAATGTTTTCAGGCCCTGTATATTTTTTAAAGCATGTAAATTTATATTATCTGTTTATTTAACAATGTTTTCCCTATACATCTGTGGAGAAAATAAAATTTTAGATGCACAAAATTCTGTTTGGTCACATAAAATTTTATATAAAAACCAAGCTGAAAACTTACGCCGTATACTCATAAGGAAGAACAGATTCCACCGAGTCAAGCCTGTTCACGAATAGCTCTATGTCAGACTGAAAATAAGAGAACCCAGAATTAGAATATAAACTGGGAATAAAAACTTAAATCATACTTAGTATTTAAAATGAATTTGACATGTATAAAATGTGAATTTCATTATAACCAACCCACTGTAACAATTCTCTTATAAAACCATTCATTAAGTGAGACTTATATACAACAAAATAATTACACCAAAATAATCCTTAAAGGTGCGATGTAGCCAATATTTTCCAAATGCCTTTTAAGTTCTAAAAATTTTTTTAAAAAATAAATAAGATATTTTAACTAAATCATTTACCACACCAATATAGTTTTTTAAAAACCTGATTTTCAAACTCAGTATTTCATTCTGCAGCACAAAAATTATTTTTATTTTTTAAATGTTTTAAAACATTCTCATTGCAATCAAGACATGCTTTCAAGTTGGTAAGAAATTTCTAGATCAGCTATACTAGAAATAGAATCCTATGCATTTGTATAATCATAAACAGAAGATGGACAACGACAACATGAGTTAACTTTAGAGGGTTGCTTTGATCAATTTGAGAATGCTGAACTACGTGGTAATAACAACAAAGAAAATTACAAGACAAGATCAAGTTCAACAGTGGGGGAGGGAAAGAAAAGCTATTATCAGTTTCCTAGGAAATATGAGCTAATTTAAAGCTACATCTTCTTATCAAAGTTCCCAAAATTCCTCCAAGGTTCTTTTTAGGTTCTTTTTTCCACAGAATCTAAAACACATAATACCTACTCTCTTAGCAGGAATTCATTGCTATCCATAACAGAATTCTTTAGTTGAAAAAGCAAGTAAGCAATTGGTGTGCTAACCAAAAACAACTAATAAGGAGTTATTTACTCGGGACAAGCTATTTTTATAGTTAGTCCGCTATAGCTGCCCCTAGAGTCCGTGATTAGGAGGCTCTCTGGAATGCCATAAAGCCACATTTGTCATTTTGATCTCATTCACTAGTGTTGACACCCGATTCTCTATATTTGTTAACATCCCAAAGCAAGACAAGATGTCTGATGTACAACAAACAAATAATATACTGCCATGGGAAAAGCTGCAAAACATAAGAGGCAAGAGTACAGACTCTGAGGCCAGTTTCCCTGGGTTCGAATTCTACTTGTGTGACTTCAGTCAAGTTATTTAACAATGTGTTTTCTCATGGGTGCTTCAGTTTCCTTATTTGCAAAATGGGGATAACAAAGTTACCTCATGTGGGGTATTGATGAGTTAACGTTTATAAAGTACATCACAAATAAATAAAATAATTATGATATTCAGAATCAGGACTATCTAAGCTACACTGCTTACCCACGAAAATGTTCATTCAATATTCATCTTCTAAGATGGAAGACATTAGTCTTTATATATAGTACTGAACATAGTGTCATAAGCAACTCCTAAATTTATACCCAAATGAAATTACAATTCAATGGCAAAATCATCTGAAACAAAGAAAATGTGTCTCTGCATAAAACAGTCAAGACCTTATCATTGGTCATTTTAGCTAAAAAGATAAGCATTACAACATGCATGAATACACTAATATATTAATTGTTGTGAAGGCCAAATTGCAGCTGATGGCTTACAATGACAAAATAATTATTATTTTCACTGCTATGACAATACATCAGAACCCAAATGCATGTGTGCGTGCGCGCGCGCGCGCGCACACACACACACACACACACACACACACTCTAGAGGCCCTTTGCAGGAAGATTCCTGCAAGAATAGGTCTTCCTTGGGCCTTTTCCTGCAAGGATAGGGTTTCCTGCAGCCAGAGCAAATCAGAGGTCTTCACTCTGGTCTCCACTGCCTTGCTCCCTCCCATCTCCACTGCCTCCCTCCCTTCTCCACAGTTTCTCTTCCTTCTGCAGAGCTTGACTTCCTTCTATGCTATCTTCAGTCTTCGCTCTCCATGCTTGTGTGTGCAAATTAACCACCATCTGTTGGGTTAATTTGCATACTCACTCTGATTGGCTGGTGGGAGTAGCAGAGGGATGGTCAATTTGCATGTTTCTCTTTTTTAGAGTAGATATATATATATAAAGTTATGGACCCTTTTTCTGTTTTTCAGTGAACTAATCAAAACATACCTTGGATATTCAGTTTATCATGACTATTTTTATAGCACTTTCATTCATCTTTCCTTTTTTTAAATTGCAAAAATCTGAAAATTTAAGAATCATCATCTCCTGCCAAAACCGGTTTGGCTCAGCGGTAGAGCGTCGGTCTGCGGACTGAAAGGTGCCAGGTTCGATTCCGGTCAAGGGCATGTACCTTGGTTGTGGGCACATCCCCGGTAGGGGGTGTGCAAGAGGCAGCTGGTCGATGTTTCTCTCTCATCGACGTTTCTAGCTCTCTCTCTCTCCCCCTTCCTCTCAATAAAATATATTTAAAAAGAAAAAAGAAAAAAAAAAAAGAATCATCATCTCCTTTAAAGAACACTAAGAAATGTAAATTTAAAAGATACTTTTAAATAAAATAGAGCAATTTGCAACATTTATAAATATACTACATTTAACAATACTCTGTTTTAAATATTGATCCTTATAGTGAAACAAGAAAATTTGAAAAGTAGTAAGAATGTGATCCCTGTAATATGGCATTAGAGCAAATGTTAAAAACTAACAGGAAGGAGAAAGAAAACGAGACACTAATGAGTTTATGTGGTTTTGATAAGGGCAAAAGTATGTTACAGACATCATGACATTCATCCCTAAAAAATATAAATACAGCCGTGGCCAGGTGGCTCAATTGGTTGGAGCATCTTCCCAAACACCAAATGGCTGCAGATTCAATTCCTGGACGGGGCGTGGACAAGAAGCAACCAATCAGTTTTTCTCTCTCACATCAATGTCTGTCTCTATCTCCTCCCTCCCTATTTTCTTCTCTCTCTAGAAATCAATAAAAAAGAAAACACATCCTCAAATGAGAATTAAAATATAAATGCACACATAGATAAAACAAATAGGGAAAAATATAAACAGCTGTTAACTCTAGGGGCCTTGGTGGATATATAGGTCCTCATCATACTATCCTTTCAACATTTCTGAATTTTGAAAACTGTCACAATTAAGAGTTGAAAAAAGAAAAGGCTTTAAAGTTGAAAATAGACTTTTAATCTTATTATCAAGCAGTAAGAAAGAAGGTAAAAACTAAACTTTAGGGTGGAAAAATGTTCAAGCAGCTGGAAAGATGACTTCAAAAGAAGTGTTAAATGGGGGAAATTATAAAATTTGCAATGTATGTGAAAAATAAAGAACATTAACAACAAATTCTGAGAAACCAGAAGAAATTCATTCAATCAACACATTTAATACAATGTCCTAAACTAGATACTGTAATTTATACTGATGTATAGGAAATACATCAATACTTGCCTTCAGATGGGGAAACAAGGCATACACTAAAGAAAGTAAAAGAAAAAGTGACAAAGCTATTTATATGTTCTTGGGGGCACTCGTGGAATCACTATAGGATTTAATTTTCTTATAATTAAAATAGCAATGTACTATGAGAGGACAATATTTGAGTAATTTTAAGGTTACTTTCCTCTCTAAACTTTTTCTTCATCCAAAAGTTAATCAAGTGCCTCTCTTTCTGAAAATTTGCTTTAAATAGAGAGTGCCAACTCCAAAATATTACTGATACAACTTAAAAGAGCCTTACTGGGTACTTAATTACTTCACTGCTGCTTTCAAAATGTCCTAAATGAAGTTATTACAAGCATGAAAAGTTGTTACATTAAACATTTTAAGGAAGTTACAGATAACACCTAAATCAAGACTGAAAGTTCTAAAGAAATACTCAGAAAGACTGATTACAATCAACCATAAAAACTTTTTAATGGAAATAGTTTAATTTAATTTAGAGATCTATGGTCTCTTTTAAATTCTTCTTCCAAATGTACAATTTTATTTCCAGACCTAATATATCCATTTTACATTTGATCCCAGCTTTGGTCACAACTACATCTATTTTATTGCCTTAAGTAAGACACTTAAGGCCATGCCACAAACTGCATTTTTATATTTCCTTGTTCCTTTGTTTCAGTTTTTATTACATCTTACCTGACTGCCATCACATTTGCCCCACCCCTCACCTATAATTGGTTTCCAAGGTAGAAAGAAATCTCAGTGAAGAAATTTGACTTTGTACATGGATCAAAGCAAGTGACTAGTGATAAAAGGGTATAATATACCAAGGCAAGGCAGAGGCACAAAAAAAGAACAACTAGAAAAGCTTCCACTGTTAAACTCCAAAGAAGTATTTACAGTGGCAAAAATTCTGAAGGGAAATCTGCCACCAGACAATAAAAATGGTGGAACACATGAATGGGTACTCACGAGCTAGGAGTTACTTGACCAGCAATGCCCAGAGCTGATCTTCTAGATGCTAAGGTTCTTCCTCTCCCCACGAGAAGTACAATTTCAATTTTAGATATAACCAAGAAAGGAATGAATATAAAATCTGACTACTTAAAGATTGCATGGGTAAAGAGGTTTTTGCTGGTGACTGTATTAACTGTGGAAGCCAGGATTGTAAGTCCCAGGAATCTCCAGAATAAGGCAGGAGAAGAAGTAGAGAGTGCTCAGGTGGAAGATACAGCAGTACCCCAACATGGTGAAGAACACAGACTCCAGATTCAGACACTTCTGGGTTTGCACCTTGGTTTCACTACTTACTAGCTATATATTCTTCTTTTTAATTTTTAAATATATTTTATTGATTTTGTACAGAGAGGAAAGGAGAGAGATAGAGAGCTAGAAACGTCGATGAGAGAGAAACATCGACCAGCTGCCTCTTGCACACCCCTTACTGGGGATATGCCCACAACCAAGGTACAATGCCCTTGACCAAAATCGAACCTGGGACCCTTCAGTCCCCAAGCCGACGCTCTTATCCATTGAGCCAAACCAGTCTCGGCTATATATTCTTCTTTTAAAAAAAAAAATCTGTTTCATGTTTATTTTATTTTATTGAGTTTATTAGATT